GCTTCTAGGACGAGTAGTCGCAAGCCGTTGCTAGCTAACCTTTCATAACGGTACTAAGAATCAACAAGCACAGATTAATAAGTGGAAATGAAATTGAACTTCACGTTAGCAATGGAGCATACTGAAGATACTACCACATATGCAACTGAAGATTCGATGGGCTAAATGCGTCAAGGGGAACGTTCGCTAGTCTAATGATAAAACCGACTAGAAAAAACATCGAACGAACAACTGGCTGCATGAAAGTGACTGCCAGGTGTTTTCGATGAGATCGTGAAATCTTGAAGGTCGTTGTTTAACAACACTTGATAAGAGCAAAGAAACTGTCACTAAAACCTTTCACTCATATATTAATCATCGAGAGAATGGGTGTATAGTAGCATCATGGTTAACCTCCAAACGTTTTTAATTTTTAAATCTTTGACATCCAAGCATTGTTAAAGAAGTCTTATTAACATGAAGTTAGCTTGAGGCATTTAATTTAAAACCTGGCGAAGTAACTGAAGCATTGTGGAGAATTGTCAGGGATTCGACGTTGTATACGAAGAGGTACGACGTATTTGGTGGCCATCTATTAATACATGCGGGAACGCGCCTAATTTTCTGTGAGATCTGCACAGGATTAGGCCTAAAATTTTTGCCTCGAGTTGCACTCAATGCCTACCGTCCACTCTGATGCTCCTGTGCCGTGACATCAATCCGCACAAGCACGTATATGTTAGTGGAAATGTACCGACCTGTTGATTTGGTTTTACAACAAAATCCGGCAACACTTCTCACAATCAACGCTGAAAATTTGGGTAGATTAGGACGGCAAAATTCGTTTATCAAGCATAAACATCGGAGCTGTCCTCAACCGACTGTGATTTCCTAGAACTGTTCAACAGCCAAGCTGTTGCTGGTACTGCGTCGAGAACACAAGTAGACTATAGAAGACTAGAACAATAACATTATTAAGGAAACAACTGTAACCGCAATGAAACTGAGACATTGGCTGAACTTAAACCGCAGGCAAGATTCGAACACGTGACTACCACTTCCAGGGGACCACGTATTACTCATTGCGTCCTTGAAGCCTTTGCTTTACCTTTCTTTAGGCCTCAAAAATATTCCACTCAGAAACAATACGGTAGATAAAAAGTTACTTGATACTTGGTACTTGGACGGCCCGTCCTCACTGGTTGTGCAGGCAGCATAATCACCATTCTTCAGAGATCTGCTGGTTAAGCCATTGTGGATCCCTGGAATCCCGATGTCAGCTTGGCCAAAGTCTGCCCCAGGTGTTAGCCACCACAGCCAGACGCAGTCCTTGTGGATTAGAGGGAGATTTGCCACTATGTGACCTTGATACCAGGACGGTGGTGGATCCTAGTATTGGTTCGCTTTCAGCTAGGTTTCCTGATGGAAACGCCGGACTGCTTGTCAGCTTGGGAGGAGACCTTGCAGAGATGTGCCCAAGCTCCGCCCTCTGTATATCGCAGTCCGACACCCAGGAAGACTTCCCAACCACGATGATGAGGTGAACCGCTGGGAGAAACAAGACTGATTTTAAATAACGAGTCAAGAAAGTTTGTTGTAGGCTGCTAAAAGTTGGAAACAAGAAATCATGATTTAACATTAACCTCGAATTCATCAGAGATCTCAAAATTTTAGTGAGCCTTCTTGAATTCCACATCTGTAGCTAATATGAATATAGTGCTACTATAATGGGCGCGTGTAACTAACCCAGTGGGCGGAGGCGTCATGCAATACACATAGGATCCTGCGCAGAAGGCTCACCAAGCCCTCCATCCCTCCGGAGTCTGCAAACTGGTACCACACTTGTCTGGAACGGCAGCAGCATTGGCTTGACATTGATAGGCCACCGAGAGTCAGTAAAGGGCAGATATGCATTCAATCGCCTCCAACGATACTTAATGAAGTCGAATGCATGGCGCATCCCTCAGGGACAGCTTAACGCAGAGAGCTTTATCCTTTTTTATCTTATCGTGCTATTATGCAGTATACAGTCGTAACTACATAACTAATACCATGCGAGTAAAATTGAAAAGCGCAGAAATTTTTGGTTATCTCAAGTCAACATAATAACTGTCTTTGATTAACGTCGGTGTTCAGCGCAGGCAACTAGTCCTGTTAGCGGTCCGGGTTAACTAATGCACACACTTTTCAGGCCGAACACAGAGATCACCACGCCCATGAAGGTGGGAGATTAGAATCCAATTAATTGACATATAGAAAATTCACCACTATTTTTCATAATTGTTCTGTTATAGCATATAGATCTTCCGAAAGTTCATTTACAGTTCAAGACACCACCAAGCATGCAACTACCGTTCGGGAAACCGTCACTTAAGAAGGCGTCTACATCACGACAAAGACGTTCTCGCAGTGTAAATTGAAATTAGTCTTTCAGTAAACTCGTTACAAACATAGAAACCCTACGAAGCCGAATTCGAGCTATTATTAGCAAGGTTTGACAAAAATGAGCTACAGTGCTCACGCTTTTCTTTAATTGTTGTCTCTTCCAAAGGTAAATCATGCACACTTGCATTTACGTAAACAGAGAGCAAAGTTCCATACGTAGCAGAAAGGCTATCTGTCCTGTTTTCAACCCGAATTTTTGCAACTGTTTGCTCAACTTCAACGGCGCGCGTGAAGCAGTGGTTGGAGGCGCCGTGCAACACACGTGGAATCGATCCCCGCGCCCATGGTCTACCAAGCCTTCCATCCCTCCGTGGTCGGCAAATTTTGATACAAAACTTGTCTGGGAGGATGCAGCACCGGTTCGATACGTCGGTAGGCCACCGCGAGTCATTGTAAAAGTCAGGTATGCATTCAATCACCTCCAAATGATGCTTATGAAGACGAATGCATGGCGCTTCCATCAGGGAATGGTCAACACCGGGAGCTTCATTCTTTATCCTTATCCTTTACTCAACCTGGCCGCTTTCATCAGTAGTTTTCATGTATCGGTTCCAATTCAACGTGAATTTCATTACGGTGAGTGTTTATCGTGTGAAGCTATCATTCAGCACTCAACAATAGCACCAGTTCGACGTTCCCTTTATGAAAAGCATGAGTCAGACTCGTCGAGCTCACATTCCGTTCAAGACAATGTTCAACTAAGTAAACAGAAAATCAGTAAGTGATTAAGTATTACTGAAAAGAGGCCGTGAATCGACAAATAAAAACTTAACATAATACAGATTAAGTATTATGTTAAGTTTTTATTTGCTCTTTAGTACAATTTTTTGTGGCTGGGTATTATGCCATATAGAGCTAAAACGGTGCTGAGATATTTGCAAAACTCCGGGCCGCAGGTGTTTGCGGTGGGGACAAAGCGCTACTGCCTTTCCGGGGCTAACGAGTTCACCACCACACCATGCGGGTCCTTCTTTTCGCTTGTCTCCTAGCTAGTTTTCTATCTTTCTATTAAGTGTCGTTTCTGATAACAACGAAAGCTATGCTAGCATTGACTTCAAAACCGTTGTTCGTATTTGCTCATTTAGTTGAGAAGAGTCGACAAAAGGCCAAATCAAGCAAAAAAATCGATGAGGAGAATTCGCTTCAGGATCAAAGTGTAACGGATTGCATTCACATGGACATGTTACACCATTACCATATTGAAAATCTTGGTATTACAGCTAGTCACTACTGCAGAAGATGCGAACACAAGCCTACGAACTGCTCGCGGTTTGAATAACTACGAAAGCAATATAGCGGACTGCCTGAAAGCATTCGCCGCTCAGGTTTACATTTTTAATAAAGGCATTAGGTTTAATTAACCTCATTTTTAAAAATTTTTCACACCAGTCATCTTCGCGTCTACTATACGATTCCTACCACTTCCATCATTTGATTTTTTTTCCTCGCCTTCAACATAAACGAGAACCTTCGAAATTTTCACGAGTATTTTAGCTATTGCTTGAGTACTGCTGCATTCTTCATAAATGTCCCTGAATGCTAGCTCAGCTGGTTCTTTCTGGAGTAGTGAAATAGCCGTGCCAGAGTGTTCCACTTTGATTGCAGAGAGTAAATCACTCCTAGAAAATCTGGTAGCAGTTTCCTGTCTTCTCCGGAGGAATAATAGGTTTAATGAGCCCGGGACAGGAGTGAACCAGAACTTTGGTCGTTAGGAACGGCTTCACTGCGACCACTACAGTACCCGCTTTCTTTTGCCTCATTATTACCTCCTAGTATGTTTACTGCAGCAAACCAAAGCAACGAATAAGCGTACTGACTTTCATGTAATCTTCATGTGAATAATTAATGCCTCGTTTCACTTCTCGTATACCACAGAGTTGTTATAAAATTTTGGGACTATTCTCAAATTCGAAAGGTGGTCCACTCCACCGAATTTCATTTAATGCGACTGCGAAGGCCCGAAACGCAAGGATGAGTGACTATAAACAATGGGCTCAGATCGCTGCAGCTCTGAAGAAAGTAATGGTGGCAGAGTGTTAGTTGAGCAAATTTCGCACCCACCTCATCTTCGATTATCAGTAAAAATAGGACATTGAACCAGCAACTCTTTGTGTATAAGAAGCTTTGTCACGCCTCAAAGCTACAACGAAGCCGAATTGCCGCTAAGCAACGTTAGGGAGACGGACAACTACTGGTGCTGCTCAGGGTCACTCGTAACGGGCACTGACTAATTCTACTCGTCATTAGCGGTGTCAGCTTGGCTTGATGTGATTCGGCCTTTTGTCCATCACACCGAGAAACTTTATCATGTCTAGTGCAAAGATCATTCACTACAGCATTTTTAGAAACATTTCAGTGCGAATCTCTATCTGTTGAAATGTTACGAAAGCAGTTCTATTCGTTACCACAACCGGATCCAAAAGACTGCGTGGTATGCGCAGATCCTTCAAATGTGTTCAAGAACAGATACAGTAGTAAGAACGATTTATTCTGTCGAATGATGAAGTAGTGAAAAATCACAGGTACGAAAAACTATTCGACTTTCAGATATCCCATGCCTGGATTCTTCGCGCATTCTGTTGGAATTCTTACTCTTCGAAAGCGGTGGTGGCTACATTCATGCAAACCGAGTCACTTATCCTTTGCTGCGAAACGAGTTCATAATAACGCAGGTGTTTCTTGCCTTGCATTTTTCGAGATTTTGCTGGTGATGCGGTTTTGGCACAACGGCGTTTCACAGCGAAAACCCAAAAACTTTGGAATTCGTCGCAGTTAAGTCATAGGCGTTTAAACAATTTAACCAATGTAGGTTGCGTCAAACCTTATTTCTTGGCGGTAAAGCTACCTTCTCCTTTTAGTAATGTGCCAAGCACGGTGTATTACGCGCACCGTCTTTTACAGAGACACAGTTGAATTTTGTTCAGCGTAGGCGTGAAACGCTCATTTCAAATCCAAGAAGAGTAAAAATTCGGTCGAAATGCTCTGCTTTCAATTTTAGAAAAGAATAGAGGAATAGCCGTAAATTAAATCTTGTAACTTCAAGGCTACCATGAATTTATCTTAGTATCTACTTTAGTTGTTTGATACACGAAATTCTTCCATTTTTAGGGACCACTGCCAAGAACGGTGTCTGATTTCTGGAGAATGATTTGGCAGGAAAAAGTTGAAACTATATTTATGTTATGTAAGAATTATGAGAACGGAAAGCGAAAATGCGCGGAATATTTTTCAAAGTATATTTTCATGATTACCAATACTATCGCCGTTTTACATAGTTTCAATACCGCAATATGCTTAGAGAAGGAATAGTCTTTGAATAATTTCTGGGTGCTTGGTGGCGTCCCTTCTTTGTCGCTGTTTGTGTCTCCCAGTGATGACGATCAGTGGAAGAGCTTTCCTTGCCTGGTTGCCTCCCAGCGAAGTGTGCTGCGAGACCCAGTAGTTCGTTAAGGTTAATTTTCTTGTTGACGACGGTTTGGTCTCAAATACAAAAACGATTCTGAAAAATTCTCGTAGGCAATGTCCTTATCCCTAATACTTTTTGGATTGGAGAGTCAAGCCAAAATCTATGCTTAATGTGAAAAAATTGCTTTTACAAAAACCGAGTTCCATACTGCAGCTGTGCAGTACATATATAAATATGGAAAAACAGGTATAAGAACGAATCGATACTGCCTTATGAATAAACACGTAACTGTGATTTACCTAAGATTTACCTAAGATTTCACGGTAGACAGAATTCGTTCGTCAAAGCTGTTCTGACGGGAAAAATGGAAACAAGTAATATCGGAGATATTCGCCAAGAAACATACCGGTTATGAACAAAGATGACATTATATTACGACATACCACCTTCACATGCGTGAGCCCCAGCGCATTACTCATTCGTTTCGTTGACTTGAAATCCGTCCATGTCCGGCGACGTGACCAGATTTGTAATAGGTGATGGTGTAGCAAGCAGAATCCGAAACGAGAATGTGGTTATACTGCAAGACGGCTAAGTCGAATGGCTAGAATAAAAGTAGCAAGTATTATACGGTAACAAATGAATAGTGCATGTGTTTATTGCTGCATTCTTTAAACTGCAATAGTTGCTTCAGCCATATTGGTGTCCCTTCGTCATTTGTCAATGGTCTGCTCACTGTAATCCTACGGGTGAGCTAATCTTTGTTTTTTCTGTAGTTAGAAGTTCTTTGAAAGAGCAAAATATGTGGAGATGAGTCGTAGGAGCCATGAGAAGCAGTCGTTTTTGATGTTTAGTCTCGCATTCAAGAAAGCGACATGTCCATATCATCAATAGAAATAAAATATCTGAAGACCAGTCGAACAGTCATACATTACCATTGGACAGGTTGGCCCGACTGTGAGGTATTTCTTTGAACAGTTCCATCATGAAAAACAATGAGCACTAAAACGATCATGGTAAAAGTGGTTAGTAACGAACGTGGAATAAGAAAGAGATAGAGAAATGGCAAACTGAGAAGAGCAGAAAAGCAAAAAGGAGGTAGAAAGTTAAGACAGCGAGAGATTTAGTTGTAAATGTAATTCATATCTTGGCAATATGGACTTCAATTTTTGTCTTGTTCCCCTCCAGAAATCGCTTGCTTTTCTTTCCATTCCCGTTGATGGGTAATTGCTGATAGCATCGGTGGAGTAAAAACAAAGCTGAAAGAAAGGCAAAACAGGAACGTCGGGCAGTGTGGTGGATAGCATGTGAGCCACCGGAAAGGGTTGTCGAGGGTTTGAAGGCCAGCTGAGCATACGAATTTGCTCATACTACAGCATTGTTGTGGCTGTAAATCTAACAGTCTTGCAAATGTTGATCCCGTTCGTTTAAAACCATAAGAAATTAGCTTCACTTTTTTGTTGATCAATTTCATTATCATTACGGATGTAGGAAGCATAGAAGACTCCAAGGTGAAGGCTAGAATAAGAAGCACCCAACGAAAATAAGCACTAGTGAAAGTATGAGGTGGATAAAAAGATGCACTCTTTGTGGTTGCATTTCGAATGTTTTTTTATTTTTATACGAGCGATCTTCCCGTCTATTGCGCGGATCCCAGCACTTTTTACATTCGATTCGTTTCCTCGCATCCATTAGCCACGAAGGCCTTCCAACTTTTACGTGTGGCTTCGGTTGCAGCTTGAGGATTTTCATTTAGTCTTCAATGTCGCAGAATGCTGATCGAGTCGATTCTACTTGGAGTCCTAAAATAGCCGGGCTGGAGCGCTTCCTGTTGGATTACAGAGAATGGTTTTTTCCCGGATAAGCCCGTTACCAATTTCCCGTTTCCGGAGGGATGAGGGACTTCGTTGGGTTGGAGCGGAATCGAACTGGCACCATGCTCGTCATAACCAACATCACTACCACTGTGCCATTTCGATTAATACGCTGTCATAAAAGAAATAATAAGCAGTAAGTAAAAAGTTAAAAATTTGACCTCGAAAATATGCGCTGTTCAGGCTCCGACAGAAAATACCCAAACGATGTTCACCATGCTGAGACGAGTTCGTGGAAGCAAGACACCCGTAGGTATGCTCCAGCTTTTATACAGCAAGCAGTTATCTGCCTACGATCCAATTTGTTTCGCATTATTTCGCGTACACTTCTACGACTAATCGATCGATTGGCATAAAATGCGCGGAACGATCAATTCGCGTAAAACAAGGAGATCGAAAGCGAGCAGAGGGTCATGACTGTATGAAGGAAATGTTGCGTAAATTCAAAATGCATCAAAAATCAATCCACTGAGGACTATAGAACTCTGGTGAATGATGTAAATCCTATAGAGGATGGTGCTACCATATTTTCTAAATTTTAGTTGTTCACTGTTCTGCTGGAATTGGACGAAGTGGTACAATGGTCGCTTTAGAGATGTGTTTGATGACAATTGCTAATATTCGTTCGATTGACATTCATGCGGTGAACCCTTGAAATTCAGCTTGTTCTTTCTCTAAGACGTTATAGTTTTCTGTCTAGATGCTTCCATTTTGCGTAAAATTTTTCTGACCAATCTATAAAAAAGCTTACTTTTCAGAATTAAAAAACTGAAAATTAAAAATTTGAAATCTTTCCACACCATATTTTTTCATCTTCTCGGAGCAGATGAGCTAGATGACCTCTGTCACCTGTAATACTGTCAAGCATGACACCATGTGTTCAGTACGAACGTGGAGGCAGTGCGGACGAAGTGCGGAGCATGCAATGCATTTCCGTTCCATTGGTTTATTTTACTACACGAACAAAGGTCTCGTTCTGTCCTTCTGTCGCGCCTGAGCTGCTCTATGTGCCTCGTTCGCTACAAGGACACCAAGATTGACATGCTTTTAATATTTTTGGCTTTTGGAGAGAACGCAACCACGGATGGTCCGTCGGTCTTTGTTGTGGCAACGGTTTTCTGCTAATTGAACATTCGGATGGAAAGATCAAACCTATGTTAAACTATCATTTCAAGGTGGATGAGGTCTGCTATACACCGCACATCAACGCCTAGTAACTAACCATCCCTGCCGTAATCAGACGTCAAACCATTAAGCGGATTACCAAAGCTTTTTCCTGCGTAACAACACTGCTCCGATATTAACTTATTACTTACTGCCTACTCTTTCTGACGGCAAGGTATATTGCGAAATATCACTTCAATGATGCCGAGATATTTGCAAAACTCACGGACGCGCTATTATCCTTTCCGGGGAGTAACGCGTTCACCACCACACCATGCTGGGCCTTCTTTTTGCCTGTCTCTCAGCTAGTTCTATCGATCTTTTGCCATCAGGAATCACCCGTCAGCGGGATTGATCTAGGGAGCTCAAAACGGCAACGAAACCAGTTAACCCGCATGATGTGGTGGTGAATGCGTTACTTCCCGAAAAAAAAACAATAGCGCGTTCGTTGTCGACCGCAGATACCTGCGTTCCGGAGTTTTGCAAATATCTCAGCATCATTGAAGTGCTCCGATAATTTCTACATGATTTTATTTATAATTTCATTTAAAGTCAGAATCCTTATATTGGCCAGTCAATTTTTGCAACGCGGAAAGTCTGGAAGGTTCGATTTTTTGAAGATAGTCAGCAGCCTTCGGCAATGCCGTGCGATGGCTGTACAGACATTCGATCAGTACCTTTCGTTATACAAACTGGTGCTTCAATTCGGTCAACAAAATGGATGCATTAATAGCGTAAGCGCTCAGAGATTTTTTCACGTACTATCGTTCAACTATTGTGCAAAAATTCACTTCAGGAAGATGTCGACGGCTTTTACCGTGTGCTACAGGCCGCCCGACTCTGACTTCTAGCTGGGAGAGCTAAATCAACCATGTTTTGTTGATAGAGCACTAGCGACGTTAAGATTTATTGAATTCGTTCCACAACTAAAGGAAAGACAACTTGTTCATCACTGGCAATATTACATGTTCAACAGTTACTGTTTTGTAATGAGTGTAACTCGTCAAAATCGTGTTCTGCAGCAGTTTGTGAACCATGTCGAGTATCAAAATTTAAATTGAGGCATAAATTTTTAATATGTCCTTGTGGTAATAGCAGCAATAGCAGCAACAACAAACAGCATAAGCGGTAACCACATATAAAAATCGATTAAAAACGATAGGGACTACATATCCTGGCTCCGACGATTCTTATTGGACTACACTGTCACGATTACTTATTCCTACGTCCATTCACTGTTCCATTTCCCGTCGTTGAAAGCACCAGGTATAGATGTCCTCAACGTGATAACATGGTGCAAATAAATGTTTGCACAGTATATTTTTGGAAATAGCAAGAAATCAAAGTAGAGACCTCGAGCAGCAATAAACGAGTGGCCGTTGGTTCGACCCCACATGGTCAACCGACATTCTTTAGGGTCGACGAGCTGCTAGCAAACTTATCTAGGGAAAAGATCCTATTCGCGAAAGACGGCGACTATCTGTGGTGAAGAAGCTGGGAAATTCCTAGCATGGCTGTCCTAGAACTGCAAAGTGTTACAACAAAACAACTACTTAACATCGTTCATGAAGAAAATCAAGTTCTAAAAAAGCAACCGAACGCACACATAAGTTCGATGGCATTAATGGATAGCAGATGCAAAACAAGGAACCAAGTGAAAGGGTGCCGGAGTCCGAAGAAAATGTAGGATTGCATAAGAGGAATATAGCGCGTCAGACGTGTAGGAGACTCTACTTTGGAGTCGTATACTGTATATGATTGCGGGTAAGAACAAAGAATTCCCTATAGAAAAAGATCGTTGATAACCGCTACAAATCATGATTCTAAAGTGTATTGTGCATACTGTGGTAGGTAAACGTTAGAAACTCAATGCAAGAAGTATTTATTATTTGTAAGCACAAATTTTATGCGAGAACAGTCATTTTTTGTGAGCGATTGCAAGGATGCTTCTATAGAGATCAATACTGCTAAATAAGCATTGTTGACTGTAATCTCTACAACACCCTCGTGAACAACACAAAGGTGGTCCAAATGCACGGCTCTGAGGATTCGCTTATTTAGTTATTTATTTATTTATTTGTTTGTTTACTTGTTCACACCAACCAAGAACACACATTGCGCAGATATCAACACTTATTTAACTCGGTTAGTTGTTTCGCATTCGTCACGCACGCTCTTCAGATATGCGCGTGAATTCGCTTACTGATTGAAGTCATTATCCTCACAAGGGTCGTTAGATAATGTTCGTCTTCATTGAGTGTGAAATCTTGTGATAGTTGCACTAAAGAGCTCTTAGAATTCCCAATTAGGCAACAGCCTTCTGTTGTGGATCAAAAAGAAACGTAAGCAGCTTCCAATCAACTCTATTCGTTACTTTGCTTAGCGACGCTGCTCAGAAGCCTACGGTCGCTTAGAAAGCAAACGATGTCACTCTTTTGATATGATGCCTTTGGCAAGGAGACAGATGTAGACCAACTTTCGGATTCTTCTGAGCCGTCAAATTTCTTCTTGCGGATCTTTCGAATGAGGAACTCTTTCGAGCTCATAGGTGAGAAATCTGGGAGTTGGTGACTCGTATTTTACATTACAGTTCATTACGAATTGATACTGTTCACACAAAACTGACCAATAAAGAATTGCGGCGAAACACTTTCATCTTACTGATTATCGGTGTATTATCACGATCAAACATCAGGGAAGCTCTCTTCTAAGAGCCGGTTCTGTCCACTCGGTTGCAATCGCTTGAGAGAGACACAGACATTGCTACAATTTTTCGATGAGAGCCTTCGTTTTACTGTATTTTCACTAGTTCTCACAAACAAGACGAACATCGTGAAGGTCTTCATAATTGCTTTGTAGATACTTTCATACTTTGACTTTGATACTAATTATAGACTTTGAGGCAAAACAACATTCTTTGAATAATAGGAGAGTCGCTTTGAAGCTTTGGATGTATTTTCGGTCGTACTAGACCGATGAACGAGATTGCAGGAGCAGAAATTTTGGATTAAACGCTTCGGCAGTACCGCATTCACATCGATGAAAACTAGTTAAAAATTCAATTCCTCGTGCAAGCTTAACAATGTAGCAAGATGCTTTTAGAAGAGCGCTTCTGGTTCGTCGATCTCGGGAGTTGATCGTAATCCAGTTAATAGAAGGGAAAAGAAATGATACATTAAACGTTAATCTATTTCTTCGGGATGCAGTTTATTAGACTTTATTAAGTAAACAGAGGTGATTAAATGCGTATCTGGCCTAAATAATTAGTTGCAGAGGCCTAATTAGGCATAAAGTCAGTGATTTTATCCTCCCAGACAAGTGAGATATGGACAGAATTGGTTCCTCATGTACTCCGAACTCGCTATGTCCCTCAGTAGGGGCATACTTGCTGTCCACGCATCAATTTAGGCACTTGCTTTGCCTTTCTCTCAGCCAGTTCTTACTTAATGGTGCTATCAGCAATCACCCGTCAACAGAAATGGGAAGCATAAATCGGCATACAATCGAGTTAAGCTGAGGCTGTAGTTGAAATCACAGCGTGCTAACTTTTTATTTGCAACCTCTTCTTGATTGCTGGTGGCTAGTGAAGGCGCCAATAGAGTGGATATCTGGTTAAGATAAAGGCAAAACAATGGCATCGATCGGTTTGGTGGATAGCATGTGAGCTTCTGCTAAGAGTAGCCCAGGTTTTTTTTCAGTCGCGAAGAACACGTGTGCCATATCGGTTGCTCGTTTGTCTTACGGCAAGCGTAAGACAATCTACCGTCGTATCGAGTAGTTTTATCAGTCGCGAACACTACTCAACAGCGTATGAAAGTACTATGAGGTAGTGTACAGGTCAATGCCTAAACCTTATTACGAGGAAAAAAGCGATGGACTTTGAATTTAATATTTGCGCACAATATAGCCTCCCAACGGTTCACCGCCTCATAGTAGCTGGGAGGTGTTCCTGGTAATATTTGCGTACAATATAACCTTGGCATTGATCAAATAATTCTTTATATCCTTGTTGTCGCACTGTGATGTACAGAGGTGGTTTCATTCCCCAGCAGGTCTTACCAAGATGGTAAGGAGTCCAGCGTCTCCATCAGCAAGCCCAGCTAAGAGCAAACCAATACCAGGATCCACCGCCGTCCTGGTAGCAAACTAATCGCATGGTACCAAATCACCCTCTGATCTACAAATGCGGCGATTGCCTATAGTGGCGACGACCCGGGTTGATCTCGGGACTCTAGGAAACCACAATGGCTAAACCAGCAAGACTTTGAAAAATGGAAGTTATGGTGGCCAGCACAACCAGCGAGGACGGGCCATCCAAATATCCAAGTAGCCTCCCGATATTACACACTTTGATTTTAGATTAGTTCCTCCCATTCAAAAGTCAAAGAAAAAATCCTATAGAAGTCAAAGCGTGTGGACCTAGCAACTATATGGGTAGAACAAACAATATTGCTGTTAGAAGTAACGATAATGTCATCGAATTAATTTTTGCCCTTGCACCATTTAAGTTGACGCGCTCTAAAACAACTGGCTTTCGTTCGCAGTCCTTTAAATGAGCTCCACTGACGTTTTATTTTATCCCAAATCTGAACTGCAGTGTTCATGTTAAATTCGTCCCAAAATCTATACAAAGTTTCTTTGCATGTTTAGTTGTTGTAGATTTCTGCCAAAGTTTATGTTAGGACTTGAAGGCGGATGTTTTAGTAACAAGAAACTTTCCGTTTCTCCCAATTTAATCAATATTCTGTTTCTCTTAACACATGGGAGACGATATATCTGAGCTGTTACGGAAGAAAGAGGAGATTCTAAGACTACTTCGGGAGACAGGTGATGGTGATGACGAGTATTATACCGGTCAGTGACTATCATTCACCTTTGTTGCTGGTCATATATGTAGGGTCCTAAATTGTTTTTTAGAGTTGGAATGTGACAAGAACGAGGAAGAAGAGGAAGAAGTTGGTGAGGATTTCGACGCTCCATCTTCTAAGCGAGCTCGACTTAATGAATCATTAGACGGTGAAGCGTCCAGTGAGTTTTTTTGGGCCATTTCTCATAAATGTTCTTAGGACGATACCGATTTTCATATAGTCATTACTACTTTTACATTTCCCTTCTGGATGGGACTTGTGTATTTGCGCTGTGCTCAGAATTCGCTAGGAGGGATCTAAGGGCGAATGAACCATCATTTAGATTCCAACCCTGATTGACTACTTAGTAGTGATCGACTGTTTACAGGTACGATTCCTCTGACCTGTAGGCAGTTAGTATAGATTTTTGTTCCGAAATATGTACTCCGACCTTTAAATATCTTCATCAACATTCTTCTTCAATGCGTCATAAGAATTTTCTTTTTAGGGTTCAGTGGTGTCATTCCCGTTTTATTAGTTCATGGAAGTTACTTATGATTATTGAGTGAATTGCACCTGCTCAAAATGTTAATGGCAAGCAGTGTTGCAAAGATGGACTCGTGTTCCGTGGTTGTAATATACCTAACGCAATGGCTAAACCTCCCAACCGTTTACCACTTCATTGTGGCTAGAACATGTTCCTGGATGTTGAACTGCGACGTACGTTGAGGGGATTCATCCCCCCAGCAAGGTCTCCCAAGCTGAGAAGGAGTTTGGCGTTTAGTAGTTTAGCCAAACTAGTCACTTGGTGGCAAATCTCCATCTGATCCACAAAGTCGGCGTCTGACTGTGGTGGCGACGACCTGACTCACGTTGACCAAACTGACCTCGGGACTTCAGTGAACCATAGCGACTAAGCTCGCGAATCTCCGAAGAACGGAATTTATACTGAGGCCCGCACAACCAGCCAGTGAAGACGGGCGATCCATCCAAATAAGTAGGTAATGTCTAGGCTGCATAGTTAGGCATATGAAGTTTATTTCTCCAGTAAATTTAGAGTTTTTAGTAATAGCGTTATAGAATAGTACAGTTTCTAGTACTAGCGTCTAGTAATACAATTGATTTAGAGGAGTTTTTCTTTCTCAGAAACTGTTTTGAAAACTATTTATGGATTCTATACGGTGAATCCTGAAAGATGCTAGGGTTAAGTTGTTGTCTGATTTTCACTAGTCGATCTGCATCGTACTATGTGACTCCGAAAAGATCTAGAAGTCTATTCTTTTGAGAATGGAGCCATATACCTTTGAATAGCTGCTTTGTGAAACGTGGTTCTTTTTATTACTATTACTAGAAGTCCGAAGCTGACCCGCTTGACTGCAAGTGACACATTGATCTCCTGGGAGCAAGTATGTCTTGAATTTTATGGCGATTAGAAAAAGCTGTTAGGCGAGAGTTTCAAGAGCTTGTATTTCCTAGTGTTATATTTAACATCTTTTTCTATAAAAAACAAAGACGTTGGCACATCTCTTAATAACTCAAAAACCGACTTTCTTAAATCTCAACATAAATAGTCAATATATTTATTTATATGTTCTTGTGAACTCCACTGTTGAACTCTCACTCGTAACAGCGTGGCTCTGAGGAAGACGAAATCGCCGAAACGTTGGCCATCGAGCTACAACAACAACGACGACTATACCAACCTTTCATCAGCTCGGCAGATCAGTTCATAGGAGCATATAAATAAACTAAACACGTTGTATTTCACACTCGTCTGCATGTCCAAGAACTGTTTTTCTAATACTGACTGTGTGCTTTTCTGAAGGCTTAAAATTGTGAGTAAAGTAGAAAAAAGCGGTTACGATAGCATTTTCCGAACCTTTCGAACCAGATAGGGCTACGAGTGAAAATATGGTGTAATGTAACAACAACATGCCGAGGTCAATAGAAAGTCGGTAATGGAATTGTAACAACAACATTAATTAATCCAGCATATCGTCATTTTTGTATTTTTACGTTGACAAGGCACTTTTTATTAGTTTTGATGTTTTGAAGCACAATTTTTAATGGTGAAACCTAAGCTCACATATGGAGTTTCTTTAAGAGTTTGCGTGGCAAAATACAAACGACGTGAATAGTTCACTAAAGTCGGCATCCAGTTCAGGATCGAATGGCGATCGGTAGTTTTTTTTTTCTACAAGTGTTGAATATATGACTTAATGCGTGATCTGTATAAGCACATTGTGGTTATTTTAGATCGGACTCTTGCTCACAAAAAGGTATGGAGGATGACCAGGAATTGAACTACGAAGGTATTTTCTCAGGCGTATTTGAAAGTGCTTCATGCGATGTGTATCTAATTGTTATCCGTCTTAGACGACGTTGATATGCAGAATTTGGATGTGCATGATATCTTGGAGGAGGCTGTAGATAGGATCAAAAAGGAAGCTGATGAAGCTCAATCTGTACCTGTAGTGTAGGTTTATTGTATGTTAACATTGGGAGTTCCTTTCTATCGTCTGTAGTTTAAGTGGCAAAAGTAGCAGAACAATTGTAGGGACGTTATAGAAAGCATGGTTTCACTTAGAAAACCTCAACAGAGGGGGTAATGGCTACTAAACTCTTGATGAAGGAAGCTTCTGTTTGTGGTTGTGTTTGTTTCGTACCTTTTTGGTCATGTCTTTTTTGTTATCCTTTCACATAATTTCCTCGTCAGCTTCGCAATTTCTTTCTTCATCTTATCTGATCAGCTGCTGCGTAAACTTTTCAGGTGGAAGTATGTTCCGGAACGTCTTGAACATGATCATTTTATGAATTTACCCGAGGGTTGGACTCGTATCACTCACAACAGCGGTATGCCTGTGTACTTGGTGCGTTTTTGTTTAACGTAGATGTGTCCGTTCAATCCATTTTGTAATTTTCTATTCTGCTAATTATTTTGTTGTTTAACACATATGACTACCATATAGCATCGGAAGTCGCGTGTAATTTCGCTGTCAAAACCGTACTTCATCGGAACACAAGGAGTTCGTGATCATCCCATACCAGTAACCGGAATACCATGTCTCCATCAACGAAAAATTAATGAAAGGGTTCGCGAAGCATTACGATTATGATGTGGTTTCACAGTTCAGTTTTTGAGTAGAGAAATTTCTAAGGATGCCGCTCTTGCCGCTGAAACAGAAGGTCAGCAGAAGAGCGAAGCCCAAACATCGCTTGAGAGTGAAATCAAACAAAAATTGATTGCTCCAACAGTGAAGATTGAGGTATGTGTAGTACGTGCACTTAGGTGATTGAAACGAATTCACACAATGTCAGCTCTAAAATTTTGAAGTTCCTTCCCTTATTTGGTCGTTTATATCAGCATTGAATACGAGTTTTCAGCGAGAATTGTTGAAGAATTTTTGCTTAGATGAGCAAGTAGTTTGTTTAGTTCCAATTTTTTTCTGTCAAAACTTCCATATTATAATTTTCCATTTATTTCCATAAACGGAAAGCGGTATGGCTGTAGTGGCTTGTTTTGAAATTACTGTTGTAGATTTTACATATATACTCTGTTTCTTTTTTTCACTTTTTTTTCTAACCCAAAACGTAATATCATAGTTTATCCACTCCACCTTCAATGGACAATTTTATTCTGATTCTAACCACACTGTCGCCTTTGTTAATGCTTGTCGTACCATCCGAAACTGGCGAAAGTGCTATATTGGACACTTATTGCCTATCTCGGATAGGTTCGATGAGCACAGAGTTTGTCCACATAGAGAAATATTATCACGCTTCTTTCTTGAATTCCTTTGTACTGGAGCAATGTGCATAGTTTCTATGTGTTGTGATTTTGGTCACCTATAAACCTCTTACTTAAGAATGCGTTCATATAAAGTTACCTATTTTCAGTTTCTTTAAGGAGGTCGTAGTCATTTGTTGTTTGACCGAAGTTATTGTAAAATTGAGTATTTCGCGATAGCTTGTTGGTTTTCCACAGTAGATATGGGGTTTATCTCCTGGAGGCTACTACTAATCCCGAGCTACCATATGCACCCTAGTGTTGAGTCAATAAGGACACAGTTCGCATGCATGAAGGTACAGATGCACGTCACCATGAGCATGATCAATTGCATGTAGGAGATATAAGTTGTTCTAGCGCAGAATAGGCAAGAAAGACATATTTTCGACGTATCTGCATGAAAGTGAAAAGGTGTTTGTGGTCTGCGTTCATACCCACTATGTACGTTAATGCCTCACTTTTTATATACACTACCTGAGAACTCATAAATTCCTGTAGTTCCTTTGAGTAAGGAGAATGGATTCAGCAGTCAACAAGGGATATTCAGCAATAAAAGTTGAGATGTCAAATGAACTTGGATCAATGCATGGTTATGCTAGACAGCGATAGCGATAAAAGTTGAAACCAACTATCACCGATTACGTATCTAGGTAGTCAAATTCGTTATAAGAATTAGCTAGTTGTTTGCCAGTAATGAAATAGCCTGTTGTATTTTCGTGCCCTGCATATGTTCGTGTTCATTTTGACCAGTAGCTTGGGCGCTTACCTTTTTAAGTGCCGTTTCATCCAAATCTTTTCTCTCTTAAATTATGTCCTCCAACATGATCAATACACGATAATTCTCCGATCTTTGTCTTGTTATTTCACGAAATCCGTTTGTCATTGTGTTCGACAACATCGTAAAACCTTATGATGCGCTTCTTATTTGGCTTCCAGTATTTGTTGAGATTTGTACGTTAAATCACCTATATAATAGCGTATGCTGTTCATACCTCATTTATTGGCAAGAGAGGCAAATATCTTCCTGGATAAAAAATAGATTACATCGTAGTGCATTTTATTTACTGCCTTTCATAGGCCTATGAAAGGCAGTAAATAAAAACATTGTGATTTATACCACAGTTTCATCTTAACTGGGTTCAACGCCTATATCTGCTCCTCAGATCAATCCCATTGACGGGTGATTGCTGATAGCACCTACAAATTAATAACGCGGCTGAGGGACAGGCGAAACGAAGGACCTTTATGGTGTGGTGGTGGACTCGTTAGCCCCTGGAAAGGGTAATAGTGTGTTCGTTCCTCACCGCAGACACCAGCGGTCCAGTTTTGAAAGTATCTCAACATGATCATGGTTACAAAATAAATTTTCAAGTTAGAAGTTGAAATTTTGCTGCATAAATACGATGATCTATCTGTCAGGCATTTAAACCCGGTGTAGTAACATTATTGTTATGATGTAAGGTAATTTATAGTCGTTTAGTCGCTGGATGTTGGTGACCAGGTAACGTTTAGTGGCATATAAAATGATTGCTAGTGTAATGTATGTGCACATGATATCCGTATTTCAGCGCCAAGAAGATTATTTATTAACCGGAGAGGAGTATCGAAAATATGCAGAGAAACTGTTCAAGTTTAAACTCATTCAGGTATATTACATGCAAGAATGCAAGAAAACGTCTTGCTTTCTAGACGTGAAATCTAATAATTTTCAGGTGAAAAAGTTCAGCAATTTTAAAGAGAAAAAGGCTGCATATCGTGAAAAACAGTTTGATCAGGCAATGAAAGATTCGGGTTAGTGTTGAGTTGTTTTATATATCTCTGATCTTTGCCTCCAATCGGGATCGAACTATCGATCTGATCTTTATTCTGTAATGCATTCATCGTGCTATGGTTTTGTGTCGTCTATCTTCACTCATCCTTTATCCATTCATTTATAGTTACACGGTCTTACTTTGTATGGTACAATAAGTTTCTGACAATTGATGAAATGGTTTAAGCTGTCAAAATTCATTGGTTTAGGTGTTTCCTTGAAAATGAAGGACGTTTTGGGGAAAAAGGAGAAAGCACCTGCTGGAGTTAGTTTGTTTACGTAAATTTCTATGTTCAGGGACAATTTTTTTTGGAAGTGCATCATTTGTATTAACTACCACTAACGAAATCGAAGTGGCCTAGAGTTTCCGATGGTTGTGGCATGGCGCAACAAGGCGTTTATTTGTCATTTAGGATTTGCCTCTCTCAAGGGGCTTGATCCGATATACCCGTTGAACAAAGATGTCTTATTTCCATGCTCATCAGCATCAATCTTCTGTTTTAATCTGCTTGTATAGTGCATAAAAAAATCGTTGCTGAATTCGTTTAGTATTTGCACAGTAGCGACGTCCTAATACTTTCGTCAGCGTTGGTCTGCGTGGGTGACACTCTGTCTATAGGTTAAGCAGAGAATCACTATGATGCTCGTAAAGAAAACAAAGCTGTTGATTTAGTACCACAGTTTGTTTGAAAAAAGGTACATTGGTAGAGAAAGTGTTTTGAAATCAATGCGTATGGTCCACACGCTTTGAAATATCCACACATTGAAACCAAGGGCAGTGGTTGCTAATGTTTTAGTTTCTTATTTTTGTTCAATGAATTATCGTAATTTTATGCGTTACTGGTAGTTCCAGCTTACTTTACAGCTAGCTCTAATACATATTGAATCGGCCGACCCTCGCTTCCATAAGCGAAGTTTCGTAATGAATCCTCAAGGAAAGTCGTCAATTACGGTGCTGCACGAGTATTCGCAACGAGCTCTAAAGGGTCGCACAATCTATCATATTGAGGAAACGAGGTGTTCATTCTTTACACAGATACGCTTAAGATTCCTTATCGATTCGTTTATTTGTTCATTCGAATTCCTATAATAGGAGGTTAATCATACCTATGAGAATTGCTCGGATTTGCATTGTTTTTTTAGGAATGCTACGAAACCATTCCATGCTACGGGTATTGTTGTGGTAAAAAAGTCGGTACGCGTACAAATCGCTGGCACAATCAAGGACAAGCTGGCCCTTCTAGGCGCAAGCAACGGGGAGAAAGATGACAATGCCGACGAAGGTGACCGTTTTTCTTGTTATGCTATTTGTTTATCTTTACTTTTTTCCTTAAGAGGTTTCCTTTTCCGTCATGGTTATCCGAAGTTTCTAGATTCTATCATTGTTGGACGTGGTGAAGGTCCTAGTAAACGTATTGCAAAAATGATGGCGGCGAAACAAGCACTTGCAGTGAGTAAAGTTACCGATGATGCGGCATTTGTCTAGAGAATGTTGACAAGAGTGCATTTCTTAGTTAAAGATTCATCTATGAGCATTCAAAGAGATTTTTACTGAATAATTCGAGATATCCAAGTTCTCGTTTAGGTGCTAATCCCAGAAATTCGTTTTAATGACGATTACATGGCCACCATTCAACCCCCCGATGCGACAGAGAAGAACTATGACGATCAAGTAGGTCCCAGTGTTTTCCATGGTCATTGAAACTATTGAATTCGATGATTACTTTGTGGTAAACGTTCAATTAAATGTCTATAGGTCCACTCTATAACAAGGATCCGTTTTATGGGGCTAAATTATTTTGTGAATCACATGAATTTCGTCTTTGAAAGGCTTTTGGGTGGTAAATTACTTGAAATCATCAAGAGCATCGTTTAGGCCATTGCATTGTTTGATGAGCTACCGATCGAAGATCCCCGTATATCTGATCTGTCAGTTCGTACGTGTCAGCCTAAGCCACTTATACTGTTAAAAGTGGGTTGCCTGTTTGTAATGGCTTCCTAAAGTCTATGTTATTCCTCGTTTTCTTTTTTTTCAATTATGCATTCCGTTCACTAATGGAGTTTCATTTTCAAAGCATTGCACAAAGTATTTATAAACCATTTAACACCAAACATTTCTTTCACCTCTATGCTTTATTTTTATCGTCGTGTTTATCTCAGAAGGTTTCATCTTTAGAGTGAAAAGTACAGTCATTCCAACTATGAAGTGTAGCCTAGTGATCAATTAGCCTGTTGTCTAACAAGTTCCAGATGCTGTATAGAACACATTGGATGCACTTTAAATAGTCTTTAGTTCCTCATCCCATTAATAGTTCTGTCAGTTGTGTTCAAGGAACTAGAAACACGATAATACCGCTGATGTAGGTCGAACTAGTTATTTGTTTCACGTAAAAAGGTGCACAGACTGTGCTTTCCCTGTAGAATCAAGTTTAAACCTATCTACTATCCATGAAGACATGATTATAATTACATATCAACAAATATTTTGTATCGCGGAAAGTAGGTCGAAGTACCGCTTAAGTAGATGTTGATATCGAAGTTAAAGGTTAAGAAAGCTCAGTTATACGGGAAGTTTTAAGGGTCGGTAGTGTTTGCTGGCGTAGATGACGACTAAGGAGAGCTAAATGTAGTCTGTTCCATACAAAGTTTTTTTTTACAAAATTCTACATGCGTTTTTTTTCGATTATACGAAAGCTTTCGAAAGCTGCATATGATCGTTTAATCATGTTTTGTTCAGTTTAGAAATAAGAGGTTAGAGGAAAAAATTTCTACGTATTCCTTTATTGGAATTGGTTGTGGTGAACATAGTTCCAACGTAATATTGTAATATTCTAAATTTAAGATGCTGTGTATGCCCACTTGTGTTGGATTATATGTCAGCTAAGCCTAATGACCACCGCCACTTCTTTATGGAGTCGCTGCCATATGTAGACACTTTTTAATGATTTGGAGCGAATGGTGCCATAATCAGTAAAAGTTTTGTTTCGATTTATAGGTTCAACGAACTTCTGGAATAAAATAAGTTGTTCCCAGGATCGACTTTCTCTTAACCTCGGCATTGGAATATGAATGTGTCGTTTTCTTGTTCAGCAATCGCGAGGTTTTTAAACAGCATACATTTACTTCCATAAAAACACAATACAATACAACGCTAGCTGACGTTTCGGCAGTATCGCCTTCTTCAGCTCGTCAACCGTGAGTCGTCAACCACATGCGACTATAATCAGCTGTTCTAAACTTCTTCATTGGAAGTCACGAAAAAGCGGCTCTGAAGAAGGCGATACTGCCGAAACGTCAGCTAGCGTTGTATTGTATTGTGTTTTTATGAAAATAAGTTGTGTCCGAGATGAGTCAAAGGTTGTAATTCAAATGTATGGAATTTCTCTTGAGATCCATACTTTCAGACACATAACACTTGTATTAATACACAGCGCACCAAATTCATTATACATTTGCATTGGAGGCGAAAATAGTGACCAAATCTAACTTCAAATCAGCATATCTCTGCTCATATTACATTTTGTTAAGTAGGATACAAACACCCGGGATTTACAGATCTTTGCTTACAAGCCACACATTATCTCATTATACCAAAGTGAATTTCTAATTTTCTGTAAATCATTTCAAATATCCATTTTGCTTTTTTACGTCAAGTTTCATACTTTGAGCACGAAAGCAAACTAACAAGCGAGATTGTATCCAGCACGACACGACGGTGTTCTTCAGTGTATCCTTAATATTGTGAGCCACCGCTGTTGTGTTGGAGTCTTTGAAAACATCGATTGTATTATAACTCCTTCGAAGGTTACAAACATATTTGAAATTTAAAGAACATTGTCTAAAACAAAACTACGAAGAATAACTGTTTTTGTTACCGTAGCATTTCAAATACGAGTAAATGACGGCTTCTGGCATAGTATAAGTATATAATACTCGAGTAATACTACTAGTAGTTCGATTCCAATTTTTTGGTTGAGGCCACGCTTCATCTTTTTCTTTTGGATTTCATCAGTTTGCAGTAGATTCGGCGAATGGTAAAATATTACGTTATCAACTTGCTAACCTCATCGTAAATCATTTCAAAGTGCCAAATTCTCATCTAGTGTCGAATATCTATCTATCGTCATATCTACTGCGGACTTTGAGAAGTGGGAGACAATTATGCCGGCGCATTGGAACAAAGATGACCGTTTTCCTCTCATTTTACTAACAATTGTGAATACTTTATCCACGATTTATGGAGAATAACACCTCAAACCCAGTTCTAAGCACTAGTTGTGTTTATGGGTGTTTGAAATGAATCTATAGGATACATGTTGAAGCGGGCAAATTGATTCTATTTTTCCACCGCCGATTATCCCTAAGATTTCGCAGGTTTTTTATTTGAGATTTGAAACTGGAAGATGCATCTCACCATCCCTGGTATTAGCGTGCATGGGTGGTATTCAATGCTACCTAAGTGTTGCATGGCCTCTACTGAACTCTCGAGGGATTCGCTGGCGGTCGTCGAGCGTGTTAGGCTCGTGCATAATGTGCGACGACTGGCTGATTTGGCATGCTTATGGCGATGGATTTCGTGTAATTCAACGACGTATATTAGCATTTTCATCTCCTATATACGTCAGAAGTGTATTGTATTTATGTCTATTGTATAATTTTATGAAGATTACTGGTCTCTTGGTGAGGAAAATTTACTTGCATTTACTGACAACCCGCTCATTTTATTTTTTGTGAAAATAGATTTATCAGTGACAAGGCTATGCAGCAGGAAATAACCACCTAAATATCCTTGAGAGACAACAAGAACACCCTATTTTTGACTCAGGATTTCTGTGAATAATGAATACCTGGTTGGTTTTTATTTCGTACCTACCATACAATGGTTCTGATCGCTAATACACTTCCCAGACGTTGTTCGCAACGTTGCATCTCCATTACATGTCGGGTATATTGGAGTTTCTAAGTCCTTGCATATGTAGCTAAGCCTACCTAGTGTTTAGGCTACCTAGTGTTAGCCTACCTAGTGTCTTCGGTATAAGTCCGAAATCTGGATTTCTCTTTCACTTGCGTTAAGTACACCAAAATAGCGCTTTAGATTAAACTGACTGATCGTTCGTTCTACCAACATCGTCCAGTTTTTGATGCGTACTTTGAGGCAGGAATTTTCGCAGTCGCGGTGGAGCGAACAGAGCGAGGGTATTCGTTGTCTTCCTCATTATATTGTCGACACTAATGCGAGCCGCTTAAGTCGGTCTTACCCCAGATCGGTTCTGAAACGAATTCGTTCATCATGCAGCCTTCTCTGCACAGATAAACACAGTTGAAGAGTTCGCCGTTATTTGTTACGTTGAGTGTAAATTGAGCATCAGGAGCGAATTTGTGCTCAAGTGTGTAACTGAGCTTGGTTTGCAATAGTTCAACTTGGTTACTTTTGAGAAAAACTTCTATCTTCCTTTTTATGGCACGAAAGTATGTAGAAGTGGTTGTTGGAGATACTGAAGTAGAAGTCGTGGTTGAACAGTCCTTCTGCTTTCTTGTGTAATGAGTTTTCCATTGAGATACCGAAGAGCGGTAATCTTGTCACTACTAAACCGGTCTTTATCTTCTGAGATTTTAGGGAGCATCTCTTGGTAACTGTCAAACAGTCGTCTTGCTCGGTGTTTAGTAAATGGTAGTTGATGTTGTCGATAAAGACGTCTGAGCCAGCTAAAATTCTCCAATTTTTTTGTCCTTCTTTCTGATCCTTGGTGCATCTTCACTTTTCTATGTGATTATGGATGTATTACAAAGAAAGTGATGTACCAATTTTGCGTAGAACGTGAAATGACAGGAACGTATATAAGGGAACCTCGTTCCTTTAATAGATAATTCTCTCGTCCAAACTCAAGAGCAGACGTTTGTAAACTGTAAGTTGCGGCGGATAATTCCGATCGCCATAGTGCACTCAGACACGCTGCCCATTGAATTTTAGGTAGTGGGGCGAAGTTTTGACACATTTGCCGTGATCTGCCCATGTTGCTTAAACTGTGGGGAGGTGGTTTTGTAGAACGTATGTTTTATCTTTGACTTTGCCATGTCCACATGAACCTTGTTTTCGTGGTATCTGCATCATAAGTCGTAAGCGAAAGAACTGTCAAAGGCGCTGATTGTTCACATCTTTTTGGCCTTAATTGTCCACCTCGAGTCGTTTATTGTTCGAGTCGACATTTATTGTCAAATTTTTGGTCGACGAATGTGTCAACTCCAGAGCAATTTTTTTCGAATTGTAAGTGGCACGTGATGGTCGGTATTCTCGCCCTTGTTGCTGTTGTATACTTGATTCTTTCAGAGTGCGTAACCAGTTCCCCAGTGGAAGCTACGTTTGTCATGTTTATTTATATGATGCGAGGTTGGTATAGGTCTCCATTCTCGTTGTCGTTGTTGTTGGTGTCTTTGGTCTATGGCTGACGTTTCGGCAATTTCGTCTTCCTCAGAGCCTGGACGTGTTCTATATAGGAATACTTTAATTATTCCGTGGAAAAGGCTAAAGTATTAATGAAGGTCAAACTTTTAAATAGACGCCATATTGAACAGAAAGGCTACACACCGTGATGTTACGAGTGGGACTGGCCCACACGTTCATGTGGAGTCGCGAGCGAGGCACACCCAGGAGTTAAAATAGCATTTTGAAATAGGGTGCCAGATCACGTGTGATAGTGGGGCATTCGTCTTTCCGGTTCATCTTTGGATTTTTGAAATTTATCCAGAACGCCTCAAGAGATTTGCGCGTTGATGTTTTCGATTCCTGCGTTAGGATCCGCACAGTCGCTTCAAAATCATCGCCGTTGTGCTTTTGTGCCCTATGCGTACCCAGAGGAGTGTTTTGACGAATTTTAACCTTCCCATCTAGATGTTCTTTTATGCGGACACAAGGCCGTCTATCCGTTTCGCCAATATATTCCTCACCGCATGCGTTACATGAGATCAAGTATATTATACCTAAACTCATGCAATCCCCGTCTCTCCCGTTAGGACAGATCATACAGTTTTCTGAGCTGCACAAACGATCATAGAGACGAAATACAACCACAACGTTGCTGAGATATTTGCAAAACTCTGGACCGCAGGTGTCTATGGCGGGGAACGAACGCGCTATTGTCCCTTCCGGGGAGTAACGCGTTCACCACCACACCATGCGGGTCCCACCTGCGGTCCAGAGTTTTGCAGATATCTCAGCAACGTTGTGGTTGTATTTCGCTTAGTACCCTGCCGCGAAATTATAGTAGGCAGAAAATAAAAAAGATATAACATTGTGATCATAGAGACGGTTTCGAACTAGCTGATGGCGTAGTGTATTGGGTGGGATGTCAACAATCGTTACATAATTTTCAAGACCACTTTTTCTTAAGCATCTCTTAATGGCGTAACTTACTTCATTTGATATGAAGTGTTGCTTAAAAGGAATCTTACTTGCGTCCGAAACATTATTTTAGGGAACCACCCTACGTTTTTGTGTAATCCGAGTGGCTTCAACTTCGTAACCATTGGAAATGGCTATTTTTATTTTTCGTGCCAGATTTTGCGATTCCTTTCTTTCCTTTTCTCCTGTGCACACATTTTTAACCGTACGGTACATGTTTTTGATAAGTGCTGTTTTCATATGTGAAGGATGAGAGGAAAGGTAGCGAACTAGTATATTTTTACTACTTGGTTTACGATAATATTCTGTTATATAGCTACTTTCTAAGGGCTTTATCTGGATGTTTAAGAATGAAAGCCAGTTTTCGGTTGGTTTTTCTCGTGTAAATTTTATATACTCTGACTATCGGTTTAGCAATTCAAAGCACCCATCCATCTGTTCTTCTGTGGAACAGACGATGAAGCAGTCATCTATGTATCGACAGTGGAGTAAGGGTCGGTGATCGAGAGCTGGAGCTTCCACCTTAGACATGAAAGCAACGGCAAGGCTTGGTGCTAAACGCTGTCTCATGGCCAACCCTCTAATTTGTGCAAAATATTTTCCAGACCACCTAAGGATTGAACAACTAAGACACTGTTTCTCAAACTCTGGTTTCTCTTGCCTCTCAGGTCAAAGCTCAAACTTTCGGCCTTAATTCGCTCACAGTGCGACTAACTAAAAAAATTCCATTAGTAGGATTCGTAGCACGAGTTGTCACATGGCGATATTTGCAGGAAACAACAAACAAACTTTTCACTTTGAGCAGGTTATATTGCTTGGTACACTGTATGAAGAATTTGAAAAAAATTCTAGGACTATATTCTTGACCTAAGCCTCAGCAGTGAAAAAATCGAGACAATGTTGTTAACATGTTAGATTTAGCTTAAAATTCGTCTTTTCGCATTTCTCAATCCGTGTTAACAGCTCTACCTTTTAGTTGTGTAGTGAAATAGATGCACCATATTGATATCCTATATACTTACTTGGATACATGGCTGGCCCTTCCTCACTGGTTGTGCGGGTGCCAGCGTAATCTCAATTTTTTTGGAGTTTTGCTGGTTTAGCCATTGTGGTTCCCTGGAGTCCTGAGGTTAGCCAGACCAAAGTCTTTCTCAAGTCGTCTCAACCACAGGCAGTCGCCTCTCTTGTGAATGGATCAGAGGGAGATTTGTCACCATGCTACTAGTTTGCTACCAAGACGGTGGTGGGTCCTGATATTGGTTTACTCTTAGCTGAGCATTCTGGTGAAAACGTTGGACTCCTTCTCAGTTTGGGAGGCTCTAATGAGGGGTGAATCCCCTCACAGTCCGACACCCACGAACAACTCCCATCCACGATAAGGCGGTAAACTGTTGGAAGGGATATCCTGTATAATGCAAATAAATCAACCGTTTTGCCGACCTTATTAGAAATGTTAGGGCGCGTGTGTCGAAGTGGTTGGAGGTGCCAAGCGTCACACACGTGGATTCGATCGACCCCTGCGCCCATGGCCTACCAAGTCTTCTATCCCTCCGTGGTCGACAAATTGGTACCAGACTTGTTTGGGAGGATAGCAGTACTGGCTCGATCCATCGGTAGGCCACTGCGGGTCATTGTAAAGGCCAGATATGCATTCAGTCACCTCCAACGATACCTAATGAAGTCGATTGCATGGCGCATCCCTCCAGACGCCTAGAGCTTTATCCTTTAGTACGCTTTATTAGAAATGTTGAATAACGCAATATGTTGGAATACTTGACGAACCAATGGCGCTTCACGTTCTGTTCCGCGAAGATTTTTTATCTTAACGAAACTTCTCTGGGTCTAGATGCCAGTGCAAAGGGCTTACAGCTTAGCACTTTTATAGACGTAATCTTCCTTATGGTTCAGATGGAGGGTAGCCTTTTTAATAGTTAGGTGACTCATACAAGTGAAAGAAGAACTATTATTTGGCAAATAGTTGAGGAATTCAAGCAAATTTTTTCCAAAATGTAGTGAAAAAAGGCGGGCCATATCGGTCAAATTGATGATGGAGTTTCTTGAAGAAGTTTCTTTAAATGCACAATATTTCAGTTACCATTTATGAAATTGAATGTTGTGAAAAGTTATTGTTTATCAAAAAAGGGTTTTTCCGTGAAGCTAAATTTTCATGCGTCAGGAAAATGTCTAGTATTTAAAATTATCGCGTACGCAGTGACCTTTCTAAGATGTTTGCACCCTACGTCTCCATATTCTTTTCTCGTTTTGTCACCGCAGAACTTAGCAGCATATTTTTACATGGAGTTTACAATGAATTTCGCTTTACTGTTTTTGCCCAGTATATATTACGAAAACGAAGAAGCATGGAGCTCTAGCATAGTTCGTATTTGAACGGCAATTTATGGTCTGACAAGATTTTTAAATATAATGTTAGGCTGTTCTCAGTTCGTCACCACGGTTGGAAGATCATATGGGTGATAGGAGAACAGGTTTGTTCTTTTGGAACCGGCTGTTCTCTGGAATGGAGGCACCTACAGGCACTGATTTACGCACAGTTAGGTTTTCGAGGGGAAGACTAGGTCTTATTAGCTTAATTAGCCTTATTAACTTGGACTATTTCTTCACTGTTACGTAAACTAGAAATCCACAGTTAATGGTAGGATCTTAATAATTTTGCGTTCAACCGCACCCGCATTGTTTAGTTTCTGTTCTACACCAGTCGCTGTTCACTGATATATTTTTATTCATGCATTTTTGTAATGTATTCACTTCCAGACTGCATTGCTACGATCCATAAAGCTTTGTCGAGAAGTGCCGTTAACGAAAGTCGAGCTTCTGGGTCCAATGAGAACGCGTGTAACAATGACAGTCGGTGATCTAAGCGCTGAAGTCGGTCGATGTTCTCTATTGCTTTCTATGAATTCAGCGGTTCATTTTTGAGAGGCTATCTCAAAATTTGCCAAACGTCTGATCAGTTCAGCATTATCTTTTAAATATTTGTGTCGAAAATTGAAGGAAGGGCAGTCAAGGATTTTGAAATAATTCTTCTTAAGATGATAACTTTGTTGGCACGGTTTCTTACCTTTTTAAGAGTTTTTAATAAACTTTTACATTAACGCCTTAATAGTGTGAATTGTTTGAGGTCGTTGCGAGTGGTAGTAAAGTCGGACAACAACGAGCTGCTCAGAATCTTCTCAAGCAAATACATCCACATGTGGGTAGCATTATTTTTTGAAAAGTTCTTTGACGTGGCATAGTTTTTTTCGTAATTGGTTTCTGGTAATTCAACAAAATAAATAGAACGACCATACTGTAAGTAATTTGTTAGATTGAAGTAACAGTTAGTTATTGTTAAATGATTTTTCTTAAATTTATACATGTTCCATGGAAAAATGGCCTGATTCATTTCATGCTCTAAAAATCTGACTGGTGATTTTTTGGTTAGATTTGTTTTCTTGGTCAACTTCACCTAAATTCTTGTATTGTTCCGCTGTTTTCCTTCAATAACACGTTATGGGTGGTATGATTCAAGTCATATTGCCAACTGTAAACCCTGCTTGAATACTGGGTTGGTCCTTCATCGCGAGGACACAGACAGGACATAGCCTAATTCCCGCTGGCCTGGTAATTCCCCTAGTCAAGCAATATTATCTTGGCCTGAAGCTTCGAAGGCCATTCTAAGGTTCTCTCAAGTCGTCACCAAACAGACGCCAGAACTTGTGGGTCGGAACGAAATTTGGCACCTTTGTGGCGAGTTTGTTATGAGGACAACGACGATTGCTAACGCTCATCCAGCTCTTACATTGACTTTCAGATGAAAGAATTGAATTTCTCAGCTTTAAAACTCAGCAGGTGATGAATGCCTCACTATGCATCGCGTCTGTCAACCTCAGCTAAACATTTCTCGGTTTATAGTGGACTTCGAATATTGTCGTCCACTTGAAAACCATTTTCTAAGATCACGATTCATATTCTTCTCCGTTTTTTCTTCTCATAAAGGATTTCATTTCGAGCTGACACTATTGAACATTTTCTTCCACTTTGACAAAATGGTGTCTACGACTTTGTCGTCAAAGAGCTTTTTCTATACTCATGTCAGAAATCGTAAGACATTTTTACCTACTAATATTTTTATTCGTTCCGAGTTAAAAGATTTAGGATTGGGGCTTAAGTGAAAATGCAACTTATTATACTGTTCTTTTGTTTACATTTGCTCCATAGTAAAATTTCTATAGTAGAAGTATTTATGGGAACTTATTTGTATTGTACCTATAAGAATCTGTGCTAGCACTATTATGACAATCGTCGTTTCGTATCGGGTAACTTGGCTCTATCATATTTATCCTGGCAATAACGGAATGTTCTCGTGAAAACCACACTTCTCCAGTAGCGAACAAAAAGGACGCCATTTCTTTCTCGATTCGAAGCGATTTTAACCTTATTTCGAAGCCGTCTAATTAAATATGGATGTGGTTTAAAACGCTTGTAAGCAACTGAATGATATAAGAAATATTCTCTCAAAATTCTCGCACCCTTCTTTCTTTCTTTCTTTCTCTCCTTTCCTCATTCCTTCTTACTCGAAAATGAACACATCTTCAATTTCACTTTTTTTAATTTTTGATTTTCTTAGCCTATAAATTGACAAGTAATTGAACTCAAGAGCACCACTCTAATAGCTGATAGTAAAGCTTAGTTCAATAAGTCGATAGTTATAAACGGATGTTCCTCTAACAAACGAGTGTCCAGATAGTATGGAATTTAAGTGGCTGTCCAGTGTTTATTGTTTATTGTTGGAGGGCATCTGCATGGCGAGCTCCTTAAGCATTAGTAAAAAAGCATTCTGCTGATTGTAAATTAAGTAGCTTATGTATAAGATTCCTGGAAATTTATGATTATTTAAGAGATCACGATGTTTAGGTTTAGGAATAAACCTAATATCAGGCCGATGCAAAATTAACGACAGCTCTTAAGCACTAGCACTGTAATGATATAATTTAGCTCAAATATAACAGTATCGAAATAAGATCTGTTAAGAACTAAACTTCTTTGCAACAATACACGAGTTTCCTGGTGGGCGCTTAGAGAAAGGTAAAGCAGAAGCCTCTGTTAGTGTGGTAGATAGCACGTGAGCCTCGGTAAGGGTAACCGCGAGTTCGAAGCCCAACTGAGAGTTTTGATCATATTTCAACACCCTTGTGGTCTTAGTACACGATAATCTTAGTTTCGATAATCTACAGTTCTGATTTTTTGCAGGTGAGTAATTCTTCGATGGTGTTTTTAGTAGTAGTACAATTGTTGAAAATTTTCTCAGGTTCGATTTACATGGAAAACGATAGTTGTTTAGCGCGAGGTCTGATAAATGTGGTATATGAGGCAGACATCCGTAGACTACGCCATTCAGCTTTTCAAGCGAGAGTTGTGCGTGTGGTTGAGCCTAGTGTCGAAGAGTATTGGACCTTTGCGTTAGACCATTTCCGGGCACGTGTGCTGACGGTTTGTAAGGTTTAATCGATTTTGAGGTTTTACTTTTCTGGCGCCCTCGTTTGGTCAAGATTCGACTCGTGATTTTACGTAATTTTCCTCTGTCAGAAATTAAAAGGTCGCAGTAACCATTTATTAGTGCAAATTCGGCTTTGGAAAATGACTAAGAGCCTCATCTCATTCCATTCTTCCCGGTGAACATCGTCTTTTATCGTAGAATTATTGCTTTCACCACACATGCCAATGCTATCTACGAATGGGTCGTTTTTGTTTCTAAGAGAAACGAAGAGCAGACTTCATGACGACGATTTCGATGTCATTTGTTCAATTCGGAAGCCACCAATTGATCGACATTTTTCAACTTTTTAAACTCTTTCATATGGCGAACTATTGTGGGTCATGAAAATTTGAGTTATTCTGCAATTTTCCAGTAGTTTTTAGAGGGACAAGTTCGAATATCGGCTTTAGATGGCCATCACCAATAGCTGTATCTACGACGTTTATGGTGAAGGCTCACATGCTCCGATATGAAGCTTTGTGAACCCCGTGAACATCGCACGTTTGGAAGCGCTTCTCCTTAATGACATTTGAAGTTGTAATCGTTTCTTAGCGTTCGAACCCATTGAGTATAACGATGTCTTTTTTAGAGCAATTTTTAATTTAATTAACCTAAAATTGTGGTACACCGAGTTTGAGAAAAATGTTAGTAAATTGGTAAACAAGAAATACACTTTGAAATGTTTCACATGAAAAATGCACAGAGCGAATATTTGCTGAGAAATTTCTTTGCAAATTTCAAAACGACGGAAACGGTCATTATTTTTGCAAAATCCAACCGTTAATTGGGAGGCTTGTGTTTATCATTTGCAAGCAAACTCTCATCGTCTTTTTGCAAAATGGGAAATCTATAAATTGTGGGAAAATAAAGGGGATAACCGTTTGGTATAAAAAATGAAGCAACTCTATTCTATGCAGTAGTTACTCCTTTTTCAGGTTTCCACTTACGGTGGTTTGTTGCGCATCTACGCAAATCCTGACGAGAAAGAGGAGCAACGTGAAACGCGAAAGCTTCAGGCAGAGGTTTGTGACCAATGTACTTATGAAGACTATTATTTTGACCAATTGTTTTTATGAAATGTTTGCATTCGAAACTTACGAACAGTGCCTACCAGTTGACACAAAAGTTTTCCAATTTTTTGGCATACTTCCATCTTCTATTCTATATCGTCTTTTTAGCTGGTGCAGCTACAAAATCAAACCAAAGTGTTAGGCGATGCGAAGAAAGCTGGAAAATCTAGAGGTCACGCATCATCGAACTCAAATTCCGATTGTTCAAAGTCAGCCGCTGCTCTCGCGCGTGAAAAGGCCGAGAATGCGAGGCAGCAAGCTGAAGAACTGAAGGATAAAGCTTTCCATGCGAAAGAGTTAACGGAGAAACTGAAAGCTAAAGTGGAGAAGGCGAAACGAGCTGCTGATAGAGCTGCATTGCGACCTGACTGCGACAGAGCAAGAATGGCAATGAGAAGGTTATTCAAACTGACTGATCAGTATACGGAGTCAAATCGACGGTTGAGCAAACTAAAATCGCTGGCTGATAAGGCCACAAGGCGCTACAAGAAACGGCTGCGGAAGATCGAAAGGCCCGTGGAGAAGAAGCGTTGGGAACGAATCGGTGACCAAAGCCGTAATCATCGAGCAGACACCAACGAGGCAGTATTGGCACTGTTACGGAAAGAAATGGGGCGAATCAAAGAGCGCAGTGTAACTCGTACCTATATGTATGCGACAAAAGCACCAGTGAAGTGACTGACGCTTTTCCGTAGGTTGTTTTTCTAAGTCATGATCTTTTTATACGTGTATTTGACCAGCCTTAGACATTATATTTCTCGTAGGTACTTATTCTAAAAATTGTTTTGAAATCACGAATTATCGTTGCTTACTATTATTTAGTGCTCATTTTTTCAATCTATAGTGGCTAACATGATTCATATGCGTTTTTAAATGTTTTTGGTATTCCATTTCTGATAATTGATATATGAATCGTAATTTCTTGGTTGTTGTCGCTTCACTAAATCCAGGTACTCTGTGAAACAGAATCGGTTGTTGCTGACCATTCACGGATGTTTCGGTGTTTGTGGTTTTTCTCCACATATTAGCTTTCTACGGGATTACTGTATCCTGGTTTCTTGCTTTGCTGACCATTGTGATTTTGGCGCAATGATAAATTATTTATATATGAAATTTTTCAGTGATAGAAAAGTGCATACGGGAGAGAACTAGCAATATGAGTTTTGCTTTTTTAAAATTATAAGGCAGATTACGCGGAATCATTCAATCAATATCCTTAGGGGTTGAACTGTTAACGGATGAACAATACATCGATAAATGTGGATGATGTAATCCTTATGGATCTTGTCCTTAGTTTTCTGATACACGAATGAATTTAGAAAGTGAGTTTAGGTGTTTATTCTCATTATGTTGTGGATATCGACTCTAAAAAGTCTGCAATTGCTTGAATGAAAGCACATGAGTGATGGTCCTGCTGATATGCCTTCGATAGATCTAGAGCGTTCAAATCTGCTGAACACACTCATACAAGATGTCATGCAACACACTCATAGTTGATTCTGAGTCTCACATCGTGTTGACTGATCTTCCAATCTCTTGCAGGTTGACAAATTTGTACCAGAGTTATCAAGAAAAATTATAAGCGAGATATTTATAATCTAATGCCGAGGTTAGAAAGTCGGTCTTGTATTGTGTATTGTGTGACATTAAGTTAGTGATTGTAGTAGAGGTATAGTAGAATTTAAATAATTTTAAAGTATTTCAAAATCCCCGATCTGCATCATATTTCCTTCTTTGTGTCTTTGACTATAACGTGGTTTCGAACAATTTATGCTCAAGTTTTTCTGGGGAACATCGCTTACAGAGATTAATGAGTAGGTTTACTTTTCCTGAAATTGAGCATTCCTGGAACGACAACTTCCTTATATGTACTCAATGGCATTGTGAAAAAGATATGTGATATGGTTTTTTACCAAGTATCGTAGTCAATTGATTGATTGATTGACCTCAATTCCTCCCAACAGTCTATCACCTCATCATGACTGGGAGGTGTTTCTGGGTGTCGGGCTGCTATGTACAGCGGAGAGATTCATGCCCCTGGCAAGCAAGGTCTCCAAGCTGAGAAGGAGTCCAGCGTTTCCATCAGGAAGCCCAGCTAAGAGTGAACCAATGTCAGGACCCATCACCGTCTTAGTACCAGGCTAGCCATAACGTGACAAATCTCCTGATCTACGAAGGCTGTGACTGCTTTTGGTGGAGACGACTCGGGTCAGACTTCGGCCCAACTGGCCTCGGGACTCCAGAAAACCATAATGATTAAACCAGCAAAATTCCGAAAAGTGGAGATTATGCACAACCAGTGAGGGCAGGCCATCCAAGTATCCAGGTAAGTAATGTAGTCGATTTCTTTGCAACTTCATATAGCAGAGCGTTCTCATTTGTGTGGCATCAGCTTACAGTTCTTCGTACTTTGTTCCGCACATTCTACGGAATAATCTGTATCTCCAGATTCTGTTCCAGTACTATTGTGTGCATCAGGAAAAACCTTTCTCCAATATTTTTTTTTCTGAAGCACGTAGCAATTAGGAGTGTCATTTCCTGCCTATGCAGCTGAGTGATTTATTGTATGCTTCACAACCATCATTTACTTCCAATGATTGTCGCGTGGCTCACGCCGGCGCCGGTACAGTTTTATGAGTTTGTCCAGTCCAAGGGACAACAGTGGCAGGACACTACAGATTTAGGTTCAAGAATTATCATGTCGTACGTTGCAATTGCAAATTTCAATATGTGAAGGCCGCCAATTGTGCATTTCTGAAATACATGGGATACACAGGATCTTGCTCACTTTCCAAAACATAATAACTGCTAGATTATTTTTCGCTTGATGCCTGCGAGCTTGAGACATTTTCCACTTCAGCTAACATTTCAAGTTATTTCAACCTGTTCGGTGTTTCAAAGAATTTTACAGATTAGCTGTGAATAGATAAATATGAATATTTGCGTTCTTCAACCGCCATTCCAACACTTCTCGGTTTAGCTATGTCTGATAATAAATTCATAACCGTGCTTGTTTTTCGACAATTAGAAGTTTTCTCAACAATCTACTGGCCTACTTAATGATTGACAGTCATCATTCTAGAGAGGTGTTTTTTGAAGTCGAACTAAGATTCGGCATAGTTCCGCTGCACAGCTCTACGCCACGCTCATAGCTACTATTACGTAGAAGCAGTAGAAATAAAAGGCTTTATACCAGAAGTGCTGTAGTGTTTGCGGAGTATGGAATAAGTGGAGTCTACCGAGCACTTCTTTGTAAGAGAATTGTACCTATAAATCTGCAGCTATTCTAGGACGCTGCCATTTTCTTTCATTCCTTTTAAGAATACCTCCACAGTTTCATATGCGATCCTACGCCTTTTGCGCCTCCGGGTTTCTACTCTTCGGGATCGGCGAATTGGTATCAGGCTTGTATGAGAGGATAGCTGTGCCAACTTGATACATCGCTAGACGACCGGAAGTCATTGTGTTCGCATTCAGTCACCTTTAACGATGCTTGATAAGATCGAATGCATGACTATCCCTCGGGCGTTGGTTAACGATCTGAGAGCTTTATTTTTCATCATTTTATCTACAGATTCATACAGTGCTCATTCCTCGATGTTTCCTCTTATGACTGTTACCCGGACCGCGATTCAGCAGATTGAAGTGCTTATTGTTGGTGTGACGTCTGCTTGTGGAGCGTCGTCGTCTGCTGGCGGCTGTGTGTGACTTCGGGGGCGGGACCAGCTGGAATATGGCCCAGCAGCGACAGCTGGATGTGCGCGGTCGGTCACTCCTCCAGGGGCACCAGAGGCACATCGATCGTTGACCCTCGCTCCGCCTGCTAAGCCGGCTGGCTGCCGTCGTAGAGCAGGCGGTCCACCGCCACCGCCACCGCCAGCGGCATCTCACCTCCGTCACAACAACGCATGCGTGGACCTCGCGCTTCTCCGGGACCACCACCTGGCCGAGTTTGCCTTGCTGACAGCACAGCTGCTTGTGTCCGTCATCGATCCACACCTGACAGAAATCGATCGTCTTCGGCTTGACTCTGTCCTTTTGTGGACTCATACCGTATTTTATTGCTTGGTTGAAAAACACCTTGCTTTCCTTGTACAACAAACAACTGCACCAGGCTCCATCTAGGCGATCTTATGCCGTTTCGATTTAAAGTATTTAGATTCAACTGTTATATTGATTTCTTCCTGAATTGACTCTTTATCACTATAAGTTGCCGATAGGTGTTTTTTAGATACCATGTTAGATCCGATATTTTGGTGTTTTTTTTGAATGCCAGTTTTTTTGTTATAATATGTGAAAGTGGAGGTGGTGTTGAGCACAACGCATCTCTCGGATTGGCACAAAGATCGCCCATTCCGGACCAGAAGTCCGACAAACTCTGAATCGTTAACATGATTTGGCGTCCGCTGGGATTTGTGTCGTAGTAACGTTTCCGTCGCCAGTGCAGCTGATGATTCCGCGACACGAGGCGACCCTCGAGTGCGGCGATGTTCTACGGTGGTGATGTTGGTAGTGGTTGTGGTCATGGTTGTGGTGTTGGTTGTGGTGTTGGTGGTGATGGTGACACCGAATGAGTTCTATTTCGATTGCTGCCTTTGAACTTTTGTTATTGTTATCGATATGAATGATGTATAGCATCGTGACGCTTCTTCCATTCCTTCACATTTCCTTATCTAATTGCTTCACATTTTCGATGTTCGTGCTATGTTTCCTTCAACAGGTACAGGTGAGATTGAACATGGTGTATATTTTACCATTTTGCAACCAAAGTTTCATACGTTCTTCATTTTTATCTCACAGTGATTCTAAAACCATCCAAGTGGGGCCAGCCTAAGGTTCTTTCTTAATTTTTTGGAATACACCGTTTTACTTACCGAAACTTAGCGAGCCAGATAGCATTCATTTACTGTTCTTTTTGAGTGAGCAAACACAGTGTTGGTATTATAGCACGTATTAGCACGCAATAGCTGATCCTTCGGCGGTCTCGCCTTTTTCAGAAGCTGGAGTGGTCAAATTGACATGCAACCAGTTCAGCCAAACACTTTCATAACCGCAGCAGATAATGCATGTTCAGCATTCATCTAATTTACAATTGAAGTCTAAACAAAAGAAGATCGATGAAGATTGAGAGTACAACTTTTCATTTGTCATCCAAGATCGCTCCTCTCGAATATGGAACTTTTTGAGGAAGTAGCCCGCGCGCGCTCTTTTTCATTCTCGTATCCTTTTCAATTTTTTTCCGTCTGTGTTCCAGCAAGTTTTATGCAAAGAACTATTTCTTTGGAGATCTGAAGCCTAGAACTAAGTTATATTCGTTTGCTGTCTGTAGCTTTTCCAGCTGTAGTTTTGCTATTCCATATCTTTCGTAAGTTCACGTTTTTGTTTCGTTTTTAACATATTCAGTTGAGCCGAACTTGATATCTATTTTCTTCTGAAACGAGCAGAAAAGCAATGAGTCGTAAATGAGACCGTACACTGACAACAGCAGTGCGAAGCGTTCGTTGATTGGTTGGTTTCTTGTGTTCGTACGTCGGCGACGTTCATGCTTTGAGAGACGGCGATCCGACGGCGCGGCGACAGAGCGGACGACGAGGTCAGGCCACTCCGCGCAGAGATATGCTATGGACTGCGGGCTGTGGTGCGTGTTCAGCGAGCGACGTCGGCACGTTGAGCGCCTCTGGCGCCGGCGCCTTCTCGTCACCAGCGACGAGCGCCGTGCCCGCCGCAGGTCCTGCACAGATCTTCGCTCACATAGACAGTACAGCACTTTAGCACCGGCACTGCTACACACAAGCTGATTTGCACCGTTTTGTCACGCTAGCATGGCGAACGGCCCAAACCAGCACCAAGTAGAGCAGATTTTTAATATTAAATCGGATGTCTTACAATTTGAGAAAGCTGACCAAGAGGTTTCTCGTTATTCTATAGATGAATCATTTATTAAATGCCCATTATATGTCGTACTTCAGCTACAATCGCTTTTCGAGATTACATCAATTTCAAATGCTTCGTATGATAGTAAATTGCTTAGAGTACATAAATAGTGTGTCTTATTCACCTATTTTTTGGTTACACTTAAACTTCATATGGAAACATTAATTTCGCCATAAAAAGCATTTCATACCCGCCGAACATTGTTCTCGCCCAAAGTGTAGCTCAGCCTCAGCTCAGTACTACTCCTGCTTTTTCTGTGACTACGCTAAGAGTTAATAAATTCAGAAATGAAGGATTTACTGCTCTTGTGCGGTTAAGTAGATGTCTTAGCCTTCTTAAAGAGATTAACGTCGATGAAGTGTAGAAACGATTAACGCGTAACATTGCGCAAGAAGTACGACTCAGGATGGACTGTGAGACGCAGTACACTGAAAGTTACTGCCATATGGAATAATTTCTAAAGCTTTGTTTTCGGTGAGATCTAATCACTCAAGACAAGTTCACGAATCCTTTTTGATAGTTTTTTTCTCAGTATTAAAGTAAACTACACTGATCATGGTATATTCTTCCTTACTGATTTTAAATCCACCCAACGGTTTACCGCCTCATCGTGGATGGGAGGTGTTCTTGGGTTTCGCGCTGCGTTGTACAACGGGGGATTCATCCCCTCCGCAGGGTCTTTAAGCTGAGAAGGAGTCCGGGATTTCCACCCGGATTCCCAGCTAAGAGTAAGCCAATACCAGGATCCGCCATCGTCCTAGTATCAAACTAGTCGCATGGTGGCAAATCTTCCTCTGATTCACAAGGACGGCAACTTCTTGTGGTGGTGACGACCTAGGGCAGGCTTTGGCTAGGCTGACCTCGGGGCTCCGGGGAAACACAATGGTTAAACCAGCAAAACTCTGAAAAGTGGAGAATATTTTGGGACCCGCACAACCAGTAATGACGGGTCATCCAAATAAGTAAGCAAGTAGGAAAGTAAATAGTGTCGAATGCTATTTCTATTGTGTAATTTTGTTTATGGAGATTATGGAGGTACTGTTTAAGCTGCAACTTATAGAAATTCTTGAAACGCAGAATCTACAGGATTTTGTTTTACTTGGTTATTCAGCTGTGCTTGTCTGGGGTGAAGCCACACTGCTGCCATTTGTTCTTGTTTTTGGGTGAATGTGATTAGAGCTGAAATCGCGATGGATGTATGTAGAATCAATGTGTAATGCGGAAGGTGTTGACAACAGCAGACACCAATAAAATCTCCATTCATCGTCGTCACACCACCGAGCTGACCAGATACTTGAAGGAGGCGAGATGCACATATTTTTGCTTGCGGTTCCGTATTTTTATCCTTTTCCGACGCTAATAGCTCCGCGCGATCTCCCGTAAGGGGATAGTTACGTTCATGGGTAGCTATTTAAGCTTTACTGGAACAGGTCTGAAATTTATTAGTTGGAAGCAACCCCGAATGACTTATATTGATCTCAATCGCCTCCAAGAATTTAGTGAAATCGAAATGCAGAAGAGAATCAGTACAAACATAAGATTGCACGCCTACATACGCAACATCGAAGAACAAATAGGGACCCAATTTCTGAATCTACTACATCTCGGGATAGGAATTTTGTCCTTTTTGGTCCACATTTGGATTCATATCCACATCTTGAGGTTGTGCCACAAGTCTTCGCATGTAGCTCCGGCACTTGAGGGAGATCGCTCGGATATTAATAGTTTTGAGCAACGAGCTGTTGTTTGCACAATTGGTTAGATACATTAGTTTTGACGCCTCACAAGCCATAGTAGATACTTTTTGAAGAATAGAACGGGGTTCTCTAGCATGTCATGTGTTAAGTGTTATTCACAACCACTGAGGCATTTGTTAGCGTTTCACCACGTGCTAGTAATATCCACATCTTCCTTCTGCGTAGTAAATAGGTGTTAGTTATTCGCCTTTTAAGAATTGAGCTAGTAAAGCTTGTTTAAGAATTTTTTAAACTGCCACATTAACCTCGCCTTACAAAGAATTAACAGTTTAAGTCGGTTTCACAATACCGTACTGTGCTGCAAATGTCGGAAAACATCATGTCACAATTAGCCCTCGGCTGGTCTCGGTTTTTCTCTCCATCTGATGAGAACTTCGTTGCTTTTTGCTATCTTCATGTTCCGTCTGATGGTTGAATTCCAGCCGCTTCCGTTACTATTCTCTTCCTTCCCTTTTTTATTTCATCGTTTTCCATGACGTTTTCTTGCCAGTATGCCTTCTAAATGTTCCTAAACGTTAGCGTCATTATGAGGATACATTGACCATGCCACAAAGAGAAAAAAAAGCCCTCTCAGCAAACTGAAGGGACTCTTTAATTTAAAATACTCATACCCTAATTGTTAGTTAATTTTAGCAATAAAAACTACGATCTTATTGTTTTTTAGCAACTTACTGCAAGTTTTTTCTTCTTAGTGCACTCAAGGTTTGCTAGAAGTAGACGACACGAAGCATCTTCAGAATTGTTTCTGGCATTCGCGTGGTTGCTGAAGATTTGGAGTTTAACATGTAACCCCTCAAATTCGCAGTTCCACAATTCACCATAATATCTCAATCAGCAGAGCATTTGAAGAGAGAACAACATGGGTCTACGTAAGAAGGCCTTCATAAAATATTTTTTTAATCAATTTAAAATGTGTCTGGAACTAAAATTCTCAACAAAATGAGAAGGAGTTTAAAATTTTTGAACCTTCTACCGAACGTCGCAGCTAAAATTCCAACGGCGCATTCGAATATTAGCTAACGAACCCACGCTTTTTCAAGCCCTTATTTGTTCGAAACAGGAGCTTTGACCGAAAGAGTGGAAAATTTGCGTTTCATGAGCTCTAGAATATCAGCATTTCATCTTAGAAAAAGAAGAACCAGTAATTTCTAGGCAAAAATCTATGAAGTCTAGTGGTTCTTATTGCATTAAATAAAGTTCAACATGAGCGTGCATATTTCGGCTTGAAGTCAAAGGTGGGCATTTTTCGCACTTAATAAATTCTACTCAATGAATGGTGGCCGTTATTTGTTAAAAAAGTTCGTAAAACATCTCGTTGACGGGTGATTGCCGATGGCACTGATCGATAGAAAACTAGCTGAGAGAGGAGAAACGAAGGACCCGGACGGTGTGCTGGTGAACGCGTTAGCCCCCGGAAAAGCTAACAGTGCGTTCGTTCCCCACCGCAGACATCTGCGGTCTGGAGTTTTGCAAATATTTCAACATCATTGTAGTTGAGATTGCTGAGTGTCTAAAGTACGGTCTTCCATTCGCTTTTCATCGCGCTGAAAAATTTGCCTTTATCATACTGTAAATGCCATCAATTTCGCAGACGCAGACTCTGCTGTTCCGCTGTCGTGGCGCGCTAAAATCTAAAAGTCTAAAAATAAAAAATCTATAATGAGTGGTTCCCATCGACAGCCAACAAATTGCCATCTTTATCTTCCTTTCATATAGTTTAGATTAGGAAAGTACCTAGATAATAGCTATAGTTATAATTCACTTTTAAAAGCAAATGGTAATTCGTTCGAGAGTGATCTTTTATACTGAATAAAAGACGGCTGAAAAGTCGTCACGGCGTTCTCCGCTGGTTGGTTGTTCTTTGTCATGCAACTGGTTTTGTCCCACTCTATCCTTCATGGCCGGCCACAAACATACAAATTTCCGGTATATCTTATCGACTGTCCAACAATAACTATACTACTATAACGATTCCATGATGATGAACAAATTCATAGTAGATCATCTGTTTCCCAACCAAGAGAAAAGTTCTAGCGCCACTCTGACGCGAACTTCATTTCGAAAAGTGTTTCTGCGCTTCATGTCTGTCGGGCCATTGTGCAGAACCTCGTCAGTTGTCGATTGGAATCTGCTTTTCACGTCACGGTGCGGTCAAGAAATCCATCGAGGCATAGAACATGACTTTATGGCGCTAATCTCTTTGTACTTCGCTGAATTGAATTGAATTGCTTCATTTCAGTTGCCGAGTTATCTTTACTCTATTAATTTTGAGGTTTTCTCCTGAAGCAGTTTGCGCAATTACTCCTAGTTCCTCGACAAGTTCTCAAAGCCTTACTCACGAATTTGTTCCATTACATCTTCCACGCCGGTCGGTTTTGCCGGACTTACTCCATTTGCCAGACTCTGATTGCTTGTAGAAATTCGTGTTCAAATTTGGATTTGTACAAATAACTTTGGAATCTATTTCTCGAGTTTTTCATCCTTAATCGATCATTCCCTATGTTGAACACAAATTAACACAGTAAAGCATAAAATAGGAACTGGAAAACAGCAATATCAAATGTAAAGCAAAATTACCACTTTAAATTTGGAGCAAAGAAACCTACGAAGGTGAAATATCTTCCTCTAAAGCAAAGCATCATAGCTTGAAAAGACCAAACCGACATGGTTCTTCTGACGGTCTCGCAAGAAATAAGACTTTCATGTCGCGAACATGAGGAGATGCTCGGGAATCGGACAGGACTAGCTTCCTAGTCGAAGAAAAAGCACACAGCTTCGCTCAAGCAAACGATTCATCGAAACGTTAACCGCTTTCGAGCACCTCGAATCATTTTATTTATTTATGATACATCCGAAATGATTATTGGTTAAATTCAACTTGCCACAGATCGTACCTACTATTCTAAGTGGTACCTTAGTAATTGAATAATGCTTGTAGTGTCAACAACTTCGAGAACTGCAAGTGTAGCGAGTTGTGGAAGTCCTTCGTGGAATTTTTAGTGTCTTGGCAGCTCATAAGAATTTTGAAGCAATTTTGCAAATGGCTTGATATTCCGGCGTTTAGTCAGTTACTGTTGATCTCGTAGAAGAAGAACAGATTTTTAGTTATTAATTTCCAGTCATATGGCTCTAGTTGTCCTTTGTGAATTCTTTTTGTCCATGTGCACAAGTAATTCTGAACGTTCTCAGCTGTTTTTGTTGAAGTTGATGCTTTTAATACAAAATCAATACACTGGTTGTTTCCATTTATAATTTCCGTAAGCACTCAGTTTTGCACTTCGTGATTTTTCGTATATAGCAATAACTCTAGATGTCAGCTATATATCCCATTATGCAACTTGTCTCTAGCCCTTTCCCTTACATGGTAAATCATCCATCTATCGTGTGACATAATGTTGCTCATACGTATTGCATATCGGATTTTATCCAGTCCGAATAGAAGTATTTACTGCGTTTGTGGATTATCAGGATAGGCGAAGCTCATTCAGAACACATTTGTCCTCAGCACATACGTCTCTGATCGAGGTGTTAAATGAGATCGTAGTTGCAAAGTGCGGTCGTACGGGCGGGCGGTAATGGGTAGAGTGGTCCAGTCGCTGCACGACATCGATTCGTGTGGCGAATTGCTCCATCTGTGATCGGCATTCATTACGACTACGACTGAAGTGATCGAGTCCCTCAGCAGTGCACTAATTCGGCTCTCCGTCGGGGAGTTTAGGAGTGATATGGATGCGCATAGTATAGGTGGTAATGGAAGTGCTGTTAAAAGAGAGGCGAAAGATCAATGTCAACAAATATGGAAGTCGTTTTCGAGATGAGATATGATGGACGATTAGCGCCATTGAGAACTTCACCGCCCTAGTAAGATACGTTAATACTTAAGAGCTACAAGGAAGAGAAAAGAATAATGAATAAGTTACTTATCAGTCGGTGCTCATTTCACCGTGTAGAAAGACGTTCAGCTGGAACAAATGATAAGCGCTGGAGGATATAGAAGCTGCAGTGAGATATGTTAGTGTTTAAGGAACAAAGCTAGAGTTCGTTCAATAATTCTATAGCGATCTTCACAAAACGACTGCAATTTTTGTGGAGTAAGAACCGTAAGTGTTTTTAGGATATGTAAATTGTTCAAGGCAATCAAAAACATCTTCTCTATAGTTATCTATTTATGTGTCTTGCCTGAATTAAACGTCTCTTTCAAGCCTTGCATCTTAATGCGCTATGGATTGCGTTTCCCTAATCCGATTCCCAGTTTTGCGTGAAATCTGTAAGGGGAAACGGATACAGTGGAGGTCGTTGGTGGTCTTACAACGACTGGCAAAAAGAAAATTCGGTACTAATTCATCGTTATGTGAACTACTCAGCAGTACGCTTTTCCATTTCTTAGAAAAGAAGTCGTTTTGTTATTTTTATCCACCAATTGTTCATGTCATGTGAGGCTCATATCATAGCCTATGAGGCTACCGTAGAAGGTGGAGCTATAGACAATAATATCACTTGAAAATTCAAAATGAAAACCCTTGATGTTCAAAACTTTGCTAAAATCTACTTTGATTCTTCGGTTGGTTCAAACAGTCTGCAATAAATGCTGCTCTGAATAAGAATTATGTTTTAGTGGCGTTAGCTATTAACTACTGTCGTAAGTGAAAGAAAATGTCCTAATATAAGATGTTTCAATAATCAATATGACAAGCAACTAATTTCGATAGATATTAAGAATCTGTACGACATGTGTTGATAACTTGGCCGTTAGTAACAGTGCTTCGGTGAAAAGTGGTGGTTCAAGCTTCCGGAAGTGTTAGCATCTCTTTCGAAGCAGAGGATATTGTATCTCCAAGAGGAAGTTGTTTTAATTTCCGCTTAAATGAGTACTGTTTAGGTTTCTGCGGTTGATGCGCGGATTTGACGCCGAGGACGTGGAGGTTATCCGAAAGGCCGTGGAATCCGGCGGTGTTGACTCCAAGGTCTGCCCTGGCAAGCTGTTTTCCTTTTGTACAACTTGATGACTATGATATTCTACTTTAAAGTTGTTTTCATAGCTATGGTAATCAACTATTTCCTACTAATGTGCTTTTATGTCACTTTCTGCGCCTTTTTTTCGGCGTGATAGTGGTCAATTTCGCTGCTTTTAGGATCGTTTTCCCGTGTTTCATGATGCAGTCTTTATTTTTAAAAAGTCACTCTTCACTGCATGAGTTTAATCAATATACTATTCTTGTTATTCTTGTTCCTCCTTTATTTTACTTGACCAGTCTTAACGTGTACCGTGCGAATCCCAGCACTTCTCACATTCGATTCGTTTCCTCGCATCCATTGTCCACGAATATTTTCCAACTTTTGCGTCAGTTTTTTTCCCAGATAAGTCCGGTACCAATTTCTCTACCCCGGGGGATGAGAAGCTTGGTTGGCTTGGATCGGAATCGAGCTCGCGCCATGCTCGTTATGACGGACATCAGTACCACTTTGCTATTCGCCCAATTATTCTTACTTTACTCTATAGAATGGTATATGTCAAAGCTTAGTTCTTTTTTTCTACTTTATTTGCTTTAATTAGGACAAATGAACAGACTGGGAGTGGAATGAATAGACCGTGAAATGAATAGTGGATGGAGTGTATATCAAATACCTTTGAAGATTAATCCTTAGGGCATTTTCCATACTACGAGTAATTTTGAAAGAAATAGTATATTTGCTTTAGTGTCAGCCATGATCTTATACCCGAATATATCGCCATACACCAACAATGACTAAGTTTAGAACCGTAAGCGCATTACAGGCGTGCGCTCCAGGACCACCAATGGACGAGCGAAATGATGACGATCAACCTGAAGAGGATTCCGGTCTCATTCCACAAATCGATCGACCTATGAGCATGCCATATTTATGCTGCAAGTTGTGGCGATGGAAAGACCTGCAGGTGAGTTCAACTTTTTGTACAGTTACTATTCTCTTTGTATCACTTCTTGTTTAAAACTCATTACCAAATTCTCTACCTTTCTTAGAATTTAATTCTCCATGATGTACGTCTTTTGCGTTTTACATTTCTTTTTCTATTCTTATTATCTCTTTATCAGTTTTGTTGCAAATAGTTTTTTTGCAATAACTTCGTACTTGCACAGCAAGTGGATGAGTGCGAATTGCGGTTAAAATAACTTAATAAATAATTACTTTTCTGGTGGGTCTATATAATTAATACACTGTTTACTATTAACGGAAGTAACAAAGAAATTTACACATAAATAGTGATTTTGGTGGCGCGTGAAGCGCAGTGGTCGGAGGCGTCCTGCAATAAACGTGGGATCGGCCACCGTGCACAGGTTCGCCGAGCCCTCTATCCCTCCGGGCTCTGCAAATTGGTACCAGACTTGTCTGGGAGGATAGCAGCACTAGCTCAATACATCGGTAGGCCACCGCAAGTCTTTGTAAAGGCCAGATATGCATTCAATCACCTCCAACGATACTTAATGAAGTCGAATACGTGGCGCTTCCCTAAGGAGTTGATCAGCGCCAAGGGCTTCATCCTTTTTTTGAACAGTGATTTCGACTGACCATGCTAGGACGCACTCGTATAATCTCTGTGGTTCCTTTAAATTTTTGCTATTTTATGATTTATGAAACGAAGCAGGAATAGCAGGTATTCCTTCATATTCGTTGTCTTGCAACCGTTAACTATGAAGGTGGTCGGACTCGTCGTGTTTGGACTTGTTGTTCCTCAAAACGTCGACATAATAGAGCTACGACGTCCGCAGATCTACACAACATCCAGTTGTCAGCCATTTGCCATGTTCGTTCATGGGTTATTAGTTTGTTTTCCTAAGACTAGGATTTTTTCAGAACGACAGGAATTTCCAGTGTTAGTTGGAGGACCGACAATGGATGATGCGGGTCGAATTCTCGTCGTCGTATGTGTGTTTGTGTACTCGCTGAACACAGTTACACGAATCAGTGATCATATTCGCACGGCTGGAGCTTTCAAGCACTTTTTTCATCCGATATTTTGTAGTTGAATAATTGAACTGTGGCTTAGGTGAAGTGTGTGTCAGAAAAAATGTCATCCAGGCTTCTCTATTCTTGTGGATTGCTTAATTTTGTAGCTCATCGTGCCCGCAATCCTAGGCAATTGTCGTAGGTGCTAAAGCATTTGCGGCTTGTCGCCACCCTCTCATATGTCAACTGAGACGGCGCAATACTCCAGGCAGATTTCTCTTGACGGGCAATTCATCATCGTCACAATAATGGCACATGTGATGACAGCCGTGAGAAGCAATTTTATGACCATAATGCGAAACACCATTAGCATTTGGAATCTGAGCAGAAAATCAGCAATAAATATGAACTGAAATGTTCTCGGAACACCAGCTGTCTGAAACGATTGTCCAAATGTTCCTATTGTTCTTCAGCAGCGAACTACAAGTGGGTTAAAAAGTGCATTGTTTGAAACCATTCAGTTGGTTTAGTAACTGATAGAGATCACAGCTGAGACTTCGCTGGTATTGGGAAAAGTACATGATTTGATACATTGCAAAAGCTGGTTTACGTCAGTACACCCGCAACAATTTCTTTTGAATATTTCGGATTTCGATAAAGTGAGGAGCCCGAGTTCAGATGAATCTGTTCTGGATCGAGATTGGATGATCTTCGTTGGTGGGAGAAATGTGCATAAGTTAGATATTTAGGAGACCATACCGCGGTTCTTATTTACTCATATATCGGTTCACTTTGGATCATTATATTTAGTCGTGGATTCCCTTTAATCTTTGCATTTTGTTGTTTTTGCGACATTCTTTCGACAGCAAGGTAGGGTTAAAATTGCTAACACTACATATTGGACCGGGCAGCCGCATTGTGATACTTGAGACATGCCAAGTGATTATTCTACCCTTTGAAAACATATTCTAGAACATTGTAATCGCTCTACAGACATCCTTTTGTTCCCACTTTATAGCTGCTAATCTAACTCCGTCCATTTAGCATCGACCGTAGTCATTATGAGCATCACCTAAAAGCCATACGTTTATGCTACAGTCTACACCATGCTATGCACGCTGTAGCACTAGTACTGTCTTAATCAACAGATCTACCCTTTTCTTTTCTTGTTCATTATTCGACTTTGAATAACTTGCAGCTATCGGAAGTGATAACAATATTCGTCCGGCTACTGAGGCTGCCATTTTGTGAGAGCTATTCGCTAGTCACCCTTGTCTACGGGTTGTCGTTTAGGTACATCATGTGTCCGGCCACATAGTTTTCGAAAACCAAGCGTATATGTCAACATTTAATCGCTTGTTACTTGATCGTTGACATAAGTTACATCAATTTCTTCTTCTTGTTTTCTTTTTTTTTATTAGCACATCATACAGAATGTATTAGCATCACCTTGTATACAGCGCCTTCAGTTACTTTGAGTAGCCTTTTATCCTGCCTATTCAGCGTCCAGGTTTCGAAAAGTGTGTTACAGCAGAGAGAATTATTGGGTTTAGAAGGTGGACATAAGGGGTTATCTTTATCTTCTTCACTAATTGTTTAGTTTATCAATCCGGTTTATCTCCTGCTGCTCCACACCAAAGCAAAATCGCTCGTGTTGAGTTCTCGACCCAGGTACACATCTCTGGAATATTCGGTGGTATTCGTTCCACATTTTTCAACGGTTTACCACCTCATCGTGGTTGGGAGGTGTTGGGCTGCGATGTACAGCGGGGTATTCATCCCACTGGCAGGGTCCCCCAAGCTGAGAACGAGTCCGGCGTTTCCATCAAGAACCCTAGCCAAGAGTAAACCGATACCAGAATTCACCACCGTCCTGGTATCAAATTAGTCGCATCGTGGTAAATCTTTCTCTGATCCACTAGGGCTGCGACTGCCTGTGGTGGTGACGACCTGGGCCAGACTTTGGCCAGGCTGTCCTGGGGATTCCAGGAAACCACAATGACTAAAGCAACGAAACTCTGAAAAATGTAGAATATGCAAGGGCCGCACAATCAGTGAGGACGGACCGCCCAAGTAAGCAGGTATCATTAACTACTATTATACTCACTACTATTACTATTATAATGTATATTATTATAAAGAGGGATAGCGCAGTGGTTAGTGGCGCTGTCGATTAGGAAGCAAAAGGCCCATTCGAGTTTCGTTGGAACGCCATAACCTGGCTATCCTCAAGATTACAAGGAGAACTGATTTGACCAGCACTCTTCGACATTCTTAAAAAAACGAAACAGTTAAGGAACAACTGAAAGAACATGCGAAAAGCTTGAAGACTATTGTGTAAGATGAGTGTGTGGAAAACAACAGTGTGCAAGAAGTGGCGGGATCCGCAAAGTAGGTGCGATGACGGGCCGTGTAAAAAAAGTATTATTATTCTAAAGGTTCAGTTCGTAAGAAAATATATAAATATATATATATACATATATGTAAATATGTTTTTGTTGTTTTTTAATTTTCTTGTTATTAGTCACTATTATTATTAATTATTATTTTTGATGTTATTTGTTGCTATTATTGTTATTTATTATTATTATTATTATCAGTAATTACTATTAGATTATATTGAGCCGTGTTCCACATTGTTCTTGCAGTGGAGAGATACCATACACCTTATGCTCTTAGGGATGAGTTCTCTCAATCTTCTATCCCAAGAGTAATAGTTGCAAATCCTGAACGAGCATTTCCTGTTGAATCAGCTTTTGTTTGGGTGCATTGCTCTGAGGCGATGATTCTGTGAAATTGTGAGTTATATAATAGAGTTTTCATAAGAGAACCTGACCATCGAGTTGGTGGTCTTTCTACCATAGGTTTATCCAAACAAAACATTCTCCGAGCATGACCATATCTAGTAGCCCACTTCGTTTTGGTCCTTCTCTCGAACAGCAGATACCCTGACAATTTTCTCAAACATGCTGAATACAGTCAAATAGCGTGAGAGTGGCATTGCCAATATATTTTGAAGTTTGAAATTAAAATTTCCCTCGACTCTACTAGTTTCGTTTTAGTGCTTTTGAGTGTTTAATGCACTTTCAATTTTCAATAACTTGACCAGAAAAGTTTCCTTGTATTTTTCCAATTACGTGCTCTGTAGCTACGAATCTCTCTCCAGAAGGATCTCTTGTTGTTATTTCGCGAAGTAACGTAGCGCGTTTCAAATTGATGTGTAGGAAATTAATCTCGGACCAAAACCGACTCTACACTTTCCTAAGACGCAGATAGGTACAGGCGATGGATTCCCGATATTTCACAAGGGCCTTCTGTATTTAAGAAAACATGTTCATGCATGCATGCACAGGTGTGTTCTCGTTTATGCAGATTTTATTGTACTAGTTTGTCAGAAGCCTGCAATCAAGTGACTGGAAAGTATACTTAAGACGATTGGGAGTCTCCTGCAACAGATAAGATCCTCGGTTATTATGGCATAGACTGGAAAGCTATTCGTGAGTATCCTCAGCCCCATGTTGAGAGCTCAGTAAGCTAGCTAAACGTGGGTATCAAACGCTAAACATAGTGAAATAAAACAGGCCTCATTTCCCTAATCCGAAAAAGCCCTCGATAAGGCAGCGGTGAATAGGACGAGTACGGAGAACCTACTGAAATCTCAGAGCCAATCTAGGCTGCCTAAATCTCAAGTGACTAAAGAGACGATTTGTACCTACAATGCGTGCCAACATGGGACAGTAGCGGAGTCGACGATGTCGGTGTTCTCGTCACTCTGAGTCTGGTAGCGATCGATTTGCTCGTATAACTAACAACTTGATCGAATCGAACGACTACGATTGAAGAGATGTGGATCAATACCAGCTTGAACAGTGTTAGTCGTTTACGCGCCGACATCAAACTATGACGAAGGCGAAGTCTAAGTGTTCTATACGGTCTTGAAGAAGTTCTTCTGGGAAGACATTAACTTCTTTGAAGCTCTCATCGGAGATTTCAACGCTATTTGGATTCAGAAAAACGCCACATTTGGATCAACGGATTGAAATTGAACAGGCAGGGTGAGCGGCTGCTTGAGTTTATCATAGCGACCAAGACCATCCCTCATTACTGACAATTCTAGAAGCCTCAGTCCAATGTTAGATTTGGAAGCATGCCAAGTACCATAACGAAAAAGACGACACCATAAATCGAACGTTTTGCCTAACCGATGTTGCTGTTGTCCCAATATTTTACACGGGATCAGACCACAACCATGTAAGATTCCATTTCTCACGAAAAGGAGAAAAAGTAGGTAAATTAAGTAAAGAACAAAATTCCAAAATCGTCATAAACTGAGATTTATTCAGCTCATTAATCGGCTGTGAGGAAGATACCCTAACACGGACGAGGAATACGATCAGCTCATTCGTTGTCTTCACGCTAGCGCTATGAAAGCTGATAGTTCGAAAGTCACCAAGAAACGTTTGTCTCCAGAGAAACACTCGAACTGACACGCCAGCATGGAATCACACGAGCTACAGGGAACCACCACTGACACCCTAACTTGCAAAACAACTCTAAAAAGAGAAGAAGAGCAGCAGTTACAGCACCAGGTCTGGACAGGATAGTAAAGTTTGAACAATTGAAGAACATTCTAGCAGTCCTCATAAAAACACTGACTGTTCTCAGGTTGCCTATCGGAGTGCAAAGCTTCTGTTCAATTGAAGAGTGCCAAGACCATGTTGTTGTTTAAGAAGTGTGACTTCCGCGATGTCGGCAACTATCGCTACCTTGTGGAGGGATTGTTTTTCGACTAGTTCTCACAAATGTATGTTCATGGCTGGAGAACGGATTGGTTTCGTATGTCCTTTTCGCGCTCAACGGAATTAATATCTCTGAATGTTCCAGTTATGCCAATCTAAGTCAGAAGTCAATGATAAGCGATTTCGCTTTAGTGCTGAGCAGGAGGAAGCGAGCAGGTTGTGGAGCTTTTATGATTATTGAGAATGTAGTGAAGAGAACAAAAAACACCCGACTCCTTGTCCAGCTTTTCGACTCCGCGATACTTCCTTCCTTTAACGTATGCGTCAGAAACCTGATCGCTGCGTAAGCAGGATGGAAGATCAAACGCGCAGTCGAAGGTAGGAACCTAGGAGTATCCCGTGTCACATAACTGAGGGAAGGGATCCTGAGCCCCGACCTACGTCGAGGACCGAAGGTCAAAATGCCGTTACCGATGGACAATAGCCGTTAGTGACTGGATTCCTGGAGATGTCGAACGCACGAAGATCCTAGAAAATAGATATGATGCTCAACGAGTCCCCAGAGTGACCAGAACTCATTGTGTATAGTGCTGAGATATTTGCAAAACTCCGGACCGCATACACCTGCGGTCCGGAGTTTTGCAAATATCTCAGCATTATACACAAGTTATATTTCGCAACATACCCTGCCATTAAAAGGAAAAAAGCAGTAAATAAAAGGGTTAAGATTGTGATTAAAACTCTTTGTGTTACCCTTGTACTCGAGAGGGAGAAATGGAAGGCTTACTAGCGGCCGCTCTGGTCACTGAACCATCAACGGTACGACAGGTGATACTGGAAAGATGACATGCTCAATAGGTATGTATCTAGTGAAGAGGTTTATAAAAATCCTCTTATTATTAATTTATATATTCTCTCAATTCGTAATTATCGCTGATTGCACAGTGAATGAGATGGAGGGCACGTGAGTGGGTGTGCCTAATGATGTGAGTGGAATGCGGGTTGGTTGTTCAACGCGAATGTGCGATAGGTGTTGTTGAACAGTTCGGTATGGAAGAGACGAGTGCACGTGGCTATAGTTCACTTTTAGTGCACATATGACGAGGGTTCAGAGATTCCTACCGACTTTTTCTGTGTATCGTTCTCTCTAGACGGATTTCCTAATATGTTCGTTGAACTTCTTTTTACCATCTTGTGCCACTTTATACAAGGGACGCAAGAACTTCCTCACTATGGACACACTGAGAACTTAAAAAGAACTTTCCTACCACAAATAAACTCAATTTTGTTTTTCAGGCTGTTTAAAATCCTTGTCTAAATTATGAGTTTTTGTACTATTCAGTGCTTGCATGAGTTCTTATGCAGTAAATCAGATAGCGGCTCTAAAATAGGGCTTTTAAATTGATATGGAATGTAGTAATTCTGTGCGAAGGTGATATGGATGTGCTTAGGTGGATGCGGCTTTGCATCGACTGGAAGCTCTCCCTTGGTGCCGATTTGGGCGGGTGACGATCAACAACGCGACGGTGTCGTGCTGTAACCCTTACCACTATGCACTGTGGATCCGTCCGGAGACGAGCAGCAACGACGAGGACTCTCTCAGAGACAACAGCCAACGGGAGCTGCCCATGGGTAACGGACACGTCGTCTATCGGTCGCATATGGGTCGGTGTTCTATAGTCCGTTATGCGCTTCATGAAGAAAAAAGCTGGTTTACATAGTTTACATTGTAGGAAAATTCAAACCTTGGACTCATGAGAACGCTACTATGCCAAAGATTTCTTCAAAAACAAATCTTAACTCGTAGATTCCCCTTTGGTTCATGAGATATCACAAAAGTTTTCTAAAAAATTGTAATAGGCAGTAAATAAAAAAGTTGACATTTTTTTAAAAGTGCTTGTATAGTATCTTGTAGTTACTGCACCGTTACATTTTTACGTATCGGAATTTTTTTTGTAGTTTGAGTATTAATATCTGGTTGGTTCCCTGATGAAAGTCGTTATTTTCTCATCGTAGATTTAAAATATCTCTAGACCAGGTATTTTAACACTTGAGGTCCGACATGAATTGACTTTCGGTCTCATTCTGCAAAAAATGAAAGAGCCGCTTTCAACATTATACCAACATCGCTCAATCAAACTGAATTTTGTGAATTACTACAAAGTTTATTAGATTCTAAAAATCTTTGCCTAAAGGACACTTGAGAAATTTTTGCCGCGACGAATATTTGGTTTTTGGAGCCCACCAAATATATTTGAGACCGTAAAAGTGGTAATAGGCAGTAAATAAAAGAGTCAACATTATGATTTCGACTACATCCTCAGCTTAAGTGGGTATGTTACCGATTTAGAGTCCCTAGATCAATCCAGTTGACGGGTGATTGCTAATGGCACTGATCAATTGATAACTAGCTGAGAAACAGAAAAAGGAGGATCGGAATGGTGTGGTGGTGAACACGTTAGTCCCCGAAAAGGGTAATAGCGCTTCCGTTCCCTACCGCAGACACCAGCGGTTCCGGAGTTTTGCAAATATCTCTGCACCATTGTAGTTGTATCACACATAATATCCTGCCGTAAAAAATGGTAATAGACAGTAAATAAAAAAGTCAACATTTTATTCGGTGCTTTAACATAAACATCAACAACGTATTTGAGAACCAATATATTTCATCGAGGCTCGGACTCCGAGAGTGAAAGCGATTGCACAAGCGGCATTTTGCCCATTAGAAGAGGTGAGTTCTCAAATGCGTTGTTGATGTTTATAGCTATCGTGATTTCGCATGGATGTTTGAAAAGTCTCAAACCTTCGCTCTCAAATATTTTGGAAATTTTAGTTATAGGCAAATTCAATAGCTAAGTAGCAGCTCAAAGAACCACACTTAAATACATCACGTTTTCAACCCATAAAGTTTTCTGGTTATCAAAAAATTAAAACCAGTTTGGACCCTACGTGTTAATAAGTGCCCAAATTACGTCAACTTCTCGTTTTCATAACTTTCCAGCTTCAGTGACACCGGACGTGGACCTTTCAACTCAACTGCCTAAAGTGCTCTCTGTGGATTATCCTTCGAATCCACTGCCTTCCATCCCGCCGACACCACCTGAACCGGACGGTTCTCCGCCCGGTTCTTCCAACTCCTCCCCTGAGCACGTCATGATACACAGCCATGCTGCTGGTTAGTGAGCACGTCCTTTAAGTAGATTGTGGTTTATTTTTATTCTATATAAAATTAGTTTCGTTTTTTTGGAGACTAGGTGCTGAAATATTTATCACATAGTTTTTTGACCCAAGGGGCGCGTGTGACGCAGTGGTCGGAGGCGCCCAGTAGTACTTATGGGATCGGTTCCTCCATCCCTTGGCCACTAAACCTTCGCTCTTTTCGGGATTGGAAAGTTGGTACCAGACTATTTTGGGAGGATAGCTGCACTGGCTCAATACATCAGTAGACGACGACGAATGATTGCAAAAGCCAGATATGCATTCAATCACCTCCAACAATGCTTAATGAAGTCGGATGCACCGCGCATCCTTCAAAGATTGGTCGATCGCCGGGAGCTTTATATTAATTTTTTATTTTGACCTTTCCAGCTGAGCAAGTTATATGGGTAGCTTTCCATATGAAAATTTTGTTAGCCACAAACATTGGTTGTCGTGGAACTGAGTGCCAGTGATGGATATGCAATTCAAGCCAGAAGAGTAGCAATTCGGAAAACTTCTGAAAATTTCTGATGTGCGTTCTGAGAGAAAAAGAAAAGATTAACGTGTTTTGGATAATCTTTCGCTTTCTTTTTGTTCATTTTTATAAGAATTGACTACCGTATTATTTAGATGTTTTCATTTCTAAATTTTTTCGTTATTTTTATCTTGAGAGCGTTTTTACTGACATTGAAGTTTGGCCTGTGTTCCTCTGATTCTTTTTTTGAACTGATTGTCAACTCTTCAACCAACAGCGGTTTTCATAGACCTCACTCAGCTTTTCGTCCGCGCTGATTAGCTGTTTGTTCAGGGGTGTTTTGCTGTCAGTTTAGGGCCGCTCGGCCTAAAATTGGCATGCCGGAAGTAGCTGTGGAAAGCAGATGCATCATGTCATTTCCAGTCGTCATCTGTTTAATTTAACTTCCTGAGTGAAGAGATAGGGCTGAAGACGGAGCGCTGTGTCTGGCTCTCGGCTACGCTGTTATGCGGTCCGTCTGACTCTGATTCGAACTTATCCGTGATTGGGTTCTATTGCCAATGTAAGGACACTGATTTCTTCTGATCAGCATCACCGCCTTGCTTTTTTTTTACCATACACATTAAGGAGGAGCACGCATTTGAACCAACGGACACGCTAGGCGTTTTAGAATTTTGAAAATGTGGGTTTCAGTGCATTTTCTTTCATTGATAAGCTAACACGAGGTTGTTACTGAGCATTTGTTCGGCAAATGTTTCAATTTCTTCGTATGTCTCAGAGCCGATGGTTCCAGTCGATGGTAGAAAATAATAGAAGAACGTACTTTAATCTTTCATGCCGAGGTTAAATTAAAGTTGGTTTACAATATTATTGGTTTGCTATTCGCTATGTATTAGGTAGTTTAATACGGACTACTGCAGGAGGATTGTCCGTTGAAAAACAAATCATCATCAAGGGACAATCATTATCAGCAACAACCGTCCTATATAGAAGAGCGCTGCCAGGTGTGGTTGGTTCATTCGAGCGGTGCTCCATTGTAGAAGATCGGACTCAATACTACAACGAGAGCACCACATCGAGAAGAAGAACGACGGTGGACCATCGACTCGGATCTTTGACTCTAAGGAAGACGTTGTCAAGATATCAGCAGGATAAATATCTAGTAACGATATGTTTTTAAATTATTGAGGTTTCACAGACGGTAAACATATTTATTTCGGCTAACGTTTCGACGTCTTCGTCTTCATCAGAGCCGATGATCCGTGTCGGTGGTCCACTGTTGTTCGTGGTCTCGATATGGCGTCTTCGTCCTCGTACCGAGACGAGATCTTCCTCATTGAACACCGCACGAGTGAGGCATGCTTATCCGGTAGATATTATCTAGCAACAACTCGTTTTAGCTCATCAATGGGTACATTGATCATTTGTGCTGAGGTTTAATGAAAGTCGGTATGCAATAATATTATTATGCTGTTTGCTAGCTGATAATGATACCGACTTCTGCAGGATGGATTGTTTGGAAAAAACAAATTATCAGCTGTCAATCATATGAACAACAATAAAAGACCATCGCCGGGTGAGATTGCCTCATTCAAGCGATGCTGCATTGAAGAATATCTGACTCGATAAAACAGCGAAGACACCACATCAAGAAGATGAAGGTCTATGGAGCATCGTCTTGGATCCTCCATTCTAAGGAAGACAAAAACTTTAAAATATTAGCCGTTTGGTAACAACCTCGTGTTAGCCTAACAATTAAAGAGGGTACATTGATCACTTTACACCGAGATTAATTGAAGTCGGTTTATAACAATATTGATTTCATTCTATGGGAAACACTGAGACATCGTAGGCACTCTTAGATTTTGTCACCTGCTTTTAGCCATCATCACAAAGTAGTTTTTCCGCATTTCCTGCACCGTGTTTAGTCGTTTTGGCTTTACTGCAAGAAGAGCTCTCGAAGCTCGAATAAAGTCGTTGTTTTGTTACTGATTTGTAAGTAGCGAGTCATGGGAGAAGATATTTAGTGTGGGATTTTTTCTTCAAACAGGTTACCAGTGAGCTTCGTTCTTTTAATGAGCATAACTGTTTTTGCATTTATTTTAAATTTCTCATCGTATTTCCTTGGTTCGAAACAAATTTTTGGATGCGTTCCATTATGTGAAGAAAATTAACCATATTCATGATAGGTTTTGCTTTCGATTACCAAATGTTTTGTGCTGATGTGTAGTGATGGGGTGCGCGTAGCGCTGTGGTTGATGGCTTGCAATACACACGCGGTTTTTGGTTCGATTCCGCACGATAGAGTCACCGAGCCATCCATGCCTTCTAGGTCGGCAAATTGGTACTGCACTTGTTTGGAAGTAAAGCAGCATTGACGTGGTGCACGACTAACTCACCGCAAGACATTTTGTAGGCCATATATTCACTAACTCATCTCTAACGATACCCGATTAAATCGATTGCATGGTCCCTCCCTCATGGATTCACCAACGCGGGAAGGCTTTAATCTTTTTCTTACCCTCTAAAGGTAAGGCATCTGTACGTTGGTTTCCAGATACATTTTATATGTCTCTACTTCTGTTAATCTAAGTCTCTTGATAATTGTGGCTTGATAACAGTAACAATAGGAACGTCCTTTATACCTTCCTGCGCTTAGGGGCAATCAGATATGCAATAAAAACCTTTCAACGGTATTCGTAAGGAGTGGGTTCATACAAGAAATACTTGCTTACTTGAATGCTTCGTTGGTCCATCTTTACGGGTTGTGGAGTCGACAGTAAAATTTCTCCACTTTCTCGAAGTTTTGCTGGCATGGCTATCGTGGTTTCCTGGATTGCCGAGGTCAGCTTAGCCAAAATCTGTCCCAGGTCGTCACCACGACAGGCAGACACAGCCCTTGTGGATCAGAGGGAGATTTGCCACCATTCGACTAGTTTGATACCAGGACGGTGGCGGATTCTGGTATTGGTTTACTCTTATCTAGGCTTCGTGGTGGAAATCCCGGACTCCTTCTCAGCTTGGAGACCCTTCCGAGGGGTGGATCTCTCCGCTGTACATCGCAGCCCAACACCCAGGAGCACCTCGCAGCCACGATGAGCCGTTAGGAGGATATAAGAAATATAAGAAATAACAGCCATTATAAGTAATCTGAGCTTTGGAAACTGTCATCATAGCATAAGCCGTGATTCAGATAACTTTGTTTGTTTTATAACTCGTATGAAATGCTGAGATATTTGCAAAACTCCGGACTACAGGTGTATGCAATGGGGAACGAACACGCGCTGTTGTCCTTACCGGGGAGCAGCGAACTTCACCACTACACCATCCGGGTCGTGTGGTGTAGTGGTGAAGTGCGCTGCTCCCCGGTAAGGACAACAGCGCGTGTTCGTTCCCCATTGCATACACCTGTGGTCCGGAGTTTTGCAAATATCTCAGCATTTCATACGAGTTATAATTCGAAACATACCCTGCCATTAAGAAGAAAAGGCAGTAAATAAAAGAGTTAAGTTTGTTTGTTTTATTTGTAGAGACTGAGAGCGAAAATTAGGTAGCGTGGACATGGAAAAGTCGAAAATGTCATTGATATTTGCCGCACATATGTCGAGGACTTTTCTTCTTAATCGTTTCGTTTAGCGTATTTTCTTTTCGGCTTGTACTCATAAATCGCCTTTACATATTGGAGTTTAAAGGACTGCAGCACGGTTAATGGACGGTAAAGATAATTCATTGTTTTTCTTCGATGAGCAAACACTAGGTTGGTATTACAGAATTTATTGGCATACAATAGCCAAATTATCAATCAATGCCGAGGTTAACAGAAAGTCGGTCTTGGGAGGGAAAAGAGTTCATAGAGTTGGGTTAAAAGTCCACTATACAGCTGTGTAATGGAAGGCTCTTTGGTCGGTCGGAATAATCCTATCGTTTTAAAGAACGTTATAAAAAATTTTGGGCTTTTAATTATTATAGACCTGTTCTTTTAGCACTTCACAGAGTCTTTGTTGAGCAATAAGGAAGTATTCCCGGTTATTTCGAAACCGACCTTCCCTAAACCTCGGTGTGACTAATCAATATGTATTCTTTCTTGATAAGCTCTGATAATACACCGACCTCGGCACGATGTGCGCAATGATGTATGTCCGGAAGAAATACAAGTTGTTACCACCGGACATTGTCATTATATATCCACCATCAGCATCGTGTATAAAAGGGCATCACTGAGTGAGGATGACTCATTCGAGAAGATGGCTCGCTGAGGAAGATCTGGCTCGACAGGAAGGCGAAGACGCAACGTCGAGGCGAACAACAACAAGCATGGACCATCGACTCGGATCACCGGCTCTGAGGAAGACGAAGACGTCGAAACGTTAGCCGAAAATAAATATATTTATCAACCTCGTGCAAGCTTATCAAGAAAGAATACATGTTCCCGGTTAATTTTTTCTTTAGCTGGTCACATTACCTACCTTTTATTCGAAATAGTACTATTTCAAAGGTGGTAACTCATTATCGCGTAACGTGCTGTATGTCATGATATCAAGAAGAAATCAGCATTATTGAACCTTTGAGTGAAGACCACTGGCACGTCCACTTCAACCGACTCATTGTTCATGTGTCACATTCCATTTTAATTGTTTACCTGTTTTCTTCTATAAGAAAAGCAACTGAGGACTAGCCAGTCTTGTGAAATCTAAATCTGATGAAATCAAATCTTCACCACGACTTGTCTAATTGGGCGAAATCTCTCCCATTTTGTCGCCTTGCTGGTCGATATGCGAGCCTTGACGACAATTAGTGAACAAACGTTCACTTGCTCCGATATTCAAATAGTTTATCGTGCAGATATATGAATGATCTAATCGCCTTTATTCAAATTAATTGTGTCCATTATGGAGTAGAGTATGTCTGGTCAAAGTTTTAAGGCTAAACTAATTTGGTCCACATGTGATCTGTGAATGGCTCGTACGTGGGTCGATGACGTAATTTGGAACATTCTGCCAACTGCAAGGGGTGTTCTTCCTTGAAGATGTTCAGTGTCGAAAATTTTCTCATTATTTCCGTTGTTATTTTGATTGATTCCAAGGCTCGATGTTTTCTTTCAATAAGCAGACACGAAGTTGTTATTGTAGAGTTTATTAGGATGCAATAGCTGACGTTTCGGCGGTTTCGCCTTCTTCAGAGCCTGGAAAGGTCAAGTTGAGATGCGATCTACCCACCCAAACACTTTCATAACCCTAGCAGATAAAACTAACAAATAAATTTGCTGAGGTATTTTGCAACAATCAAAAAAAAGGTTAAGATTGTGATTTCGACTCCAGCCTCAGCTTAACTAGATTCGTTGCCGATTTGGGCTCCTTAGATCAGTCCCGTTAACGAGTGATTGCTGATGGCGCCGATCAATAGAACTAGCTGAGAAACAGGCGAAACGAAGGACCTGCATGGTGTGGTGGTGAACGCGTTACTCCCCAGAAAGGACAATAGCGCGTTCCTTCCTCACCGCAGACACCTGCGGTCCGGAGTTTTGCAAATATCTCAGCATTATCTTAGTTGTATCTCACATGATACCCTGCCATTAAAAATTAAAGTAGGCAGCAAATAAAAAGGTTGAAAATAAATCATTCACATAAGAAACAGCTTCGTTTAAACACCTACGAAACTGGCAGGCCAAATAGCCATTTCAGATGGTTACGAAACTGTAGCTTCTAGGCAATTTGACCTTTTCAGACTCTGAAGAAGGCGAAACCGCCGAAACGTTAGCTATTCTATCCTAATAAATTGTAAAATAACAACCTCGTATCTGCTTATTGAAGAAAAACATCGAATTATCAATCAATGCCGAGGTTAACAGAAAGTCGATCTTAGGGGTTCCAAGGTTTTCATTAACCTAGCGTCGACTTTAGCATGGGGCCGCATGTCTCGATGGGATCGAAAGGATCGGATTGGTGAGCCATTGCAGCTTACCGGTGCATTCGCCGCTGTCGGCATCCTCTCCCAATCAGGTCAGCTTCTACCTGAATTCATCCTTACTTTTTTTGATCTGTCTTTTCTTTTTTTTCAAATGCACCAAAACATCTGTAACGAGCATAAACATGGCGTAAAGGCCTAACTTGAACCAAGGTATTCGAAAATGTGACCATTCAGTAATGCACAACACATACGACATGCTATGCGCGTGCATAATTTAGTAGTGAAATATTGCGATACTGTGTCATTCTTCAGTAAGCTGCTTTTTTATGTTGAGAGAATAAATATAAGGAGATGTTGAGAAGGCCATTCAAAGGTCTTTTTTGGGTGCATCTTATAGATTTTTCCCTTAGCATGTGTTCTTCGGTGCATTAATGCTCTTCGAATGGGAGGGACAAGTAGGAAAACGTGTATAAGTTGTTTGGAACCTTCTCCTCTGTTTTTTTTCATCATCATTAATTCCTTCTAAGTTGCAAAATTCTCACAGCACTTTTTAGTAAAACTTGTCACGAATTCCGTGAAGCTGGTTGTTCAACTCCGTAAAGTCACAGGATAACAACGCACTTTACTGCATAGTGCATGACTCTGGGTTAACTTAATCTAGGTTGAATGCAGTACTGACCTTCGTAGCATTAGCTGCGGCAGTGGTCCCATTCCTCTGTAGACGGTTTTGTAACTAATGCGCGTCGTTAGCTACCAAGCAAACTAGGCGAAGTTGAAACTGAATTGTTACTTCAATGCCTCTGGTTAACACCACAGCGGTGAAAAAAAGAAAAATTGTCCCATTTGAACAGTAGGAAGAACTTTTAATGCATATGGACCCTCTTTTGGAGATTGACATGGGTTAGATCTGTGCGAAAACTTAACGTTCTTTGCGCGTTTCACTCATACAAATTCCTTGCAGTGCACGATGCTCAGCCAGTGTGCAGCGAATGGGATCTGCAAAATGAGGTTTCGTTCGCTTTGATACGACAGTCAGAGCCTCTTGGCTCTGATGGCCCAGAAGACGTGTGGTTATATAATAGGTAATCGATTCTGATTTATTGAAATTTTTAGGATGTTGTTGCTACAATGTTAACTTTTTATTTACTGCCTATTGCAAATTTTCACGGCAAGGTATTATGTGTGATCAACCACAGTGATGCTGAGATATTTGCAAAATCCCGAATCGCAGGTGTCTGGGGCGGGAAACGAACACACTATTACCCTTTCCGGGGGCTAACGCGTTCACCACCACGTCATAGGGGTCCTTCGTTTCGCGCCTGTCTATTAGCTAGTTCTATCGGTCACTATAAACACTATCGGTAGCTATCAACAATCGATCTCAACATCATTGTGGTTGTTGCTACAGTTGAACAAAAGACGCTGTAAATTATTGAATTTGGTTTTGAAAAATGAGTGGAATCATGTGCTTTTTATCGAAATGTTTAGTTCGTTTGAAAGTAAGGACCACATTTAAAATCCAGAAGCTACGTGCTGTCAACTTTCCCGCCTTTTTTGTCAACAAAACGTGCTGAAATTGATAGCAATTAATTTCTTTCATATGGATCCTCGTAAATTTCCGCCAGGTTTCGTTCTATTCTCCATAATTCTTTACTCATAACCCTGAGGTAAAATCAAAATTGCGAACTTTAGGTGGGCTTCGAACCCACAAACACCCTTACGGGGGGTTCATGCGCTGTCCACCACATAACCCGATGCCTTTGTTTTGCCTTTCTCTCAGCCATTTTTTTACTCCATCGATACTATCAGGAATTGCCCTTCAACGGGATTGATCTGAGGGGAACAAATCGGCATTGAACCTAGTTAAACTGAAGCCGTAGTTGAAGTCACGATGTTTTCACTTTTTATTTACTGCCTGTTTTTTCTTGCTGATAGCGCCGATTGACTAAAAACATGGCTGAGAGAAAGTTAAAGCAATGACATCGGTTGGTACGGTGGACAGCACGTGACTTTTCGGTAAGGATAGTCCTCGTTTCAAAGTCAACCTGGGATTCCAAGTTTTACGTGGATATTGGTATCTCCGTGGTTGTATTTCGCATTACACCCTGCCATGAAAGATGGATAGGCAGTAAATAAAAGTTAAGAAATCCCTCTGGTCATAGTTTTACTACTACTACGTTTAGAGTATACGAAAAATTGACTCTGGTGTTCGTTATTCCAGTGGTACACGGCCTTTATTTATTTGTACGGCGTCATCGTCAAAACCAGACACTTTGCGACTCTCACCTGGTTACTGTATCCGAGTGCACAAAGGCGAGGCTACGGCTAGTGCGCCAGCTAGCGAACGGGCTGCCCACATACAACGAAGAACAAACAGAGTTAGTGGAAACGCATGATTAGTGAGATTTAGCATCGTTCATAAAATTCGTTTAATCCTTCAAAGCGCATTATCATTCACTAATATACTCAAAGCACGGCTAATTATGAGGTGAAAGTTCAATCGCAACTGGAGATGACAGATGATCTAGTCCAAGAAGTTTATTTTGTTGCCAAAATGTTCTAACAATTGTCCTCCTCATCCTCAAAGTAGATATTCACCTTGTTAAAGCCTAATCGTTTGGAAAAAAATTGATAAGCTGTGCTTCATCTTTACACTCAGGTTCTGCTAGATGTAAAAACATATTTTGCACTTTTCGGGATCAAGCCACGCGCAATTAAACCTTCAATCCTCCCTGAAATAGGCACTCAAAGAATGATTTGTGAAAGTGGAGTTTACTTTGATATTATATGGGCTTCTGAGATGGACCATTCGATGAATTCGCATATTGCAGGATCCAGCGTTGTCACATGGTAACCTAGTGATATCAGTGGGTGGAGGCTGGGGACCAAACTACAATCGTCTATACGTAACGGACATCCCTTGCCGATACGAGATCTCTTTTTCAATTTAAGATGAGTGGTTGATGATCAAGAAATGCTGAACTGCTTCCATAGTCCAGAGATTGCTCTAGGTATCGACCTACGGATGTTCCCGTTGCTATGCAAATACCATTTTTCGGGAATACATCTGCAGTATGCGGGTATAATCTATAAATTGTTAATATTGAGTGTAGTGACATCATGGAATAGGTTATGAATGTGTCACGATACTATGCTCATCGTATAGGCTATTTTATTTCAATTCTGGGATTTGTGACATAGAGAGCTTAGCACTTACATCTCTTCTCTTTTCCGTGTTCGAAATGCTATTGTGTTGCAAAATTTGTCTTTTGGCGATAATCATGTATGCTTGCTTTTCAAATGTTTTAGTTTTACGGCTACGCGACGATCGTAATGGCTTAGTGAACCTGGCAAAAAGTGCTCATCACGGTAGATGAGAGATTGTCGCTGCATTGCATCGAAATCAAGCTGCTTGCGAATATTTTTCAGCCTCTATAGTATCGATAGAAAGGCGGCGAGAGAGTTCTATATGGTCATATATCACCTCTTGCTGATTGGACTGGTTGATTACATTTGAAATCTCTTTCCTTGTCTAATTTCCAAAACAACGTTGGAGGTGGCAGCTAGCGCGGAGTTCAATGAGACACCGGATATTTACTTCTATCAATCTAGTCTTCACCTAACTATTATTCGCGTCTGGCCGGTTATGTGATCTTTTATTTGTTATAAAATTATAGAATAAGAAGCAATCTGACGGTGGAAGAATATGATCGAGGTTCTTGCGCTTGCTATTGAGGATGTATATGCGTCAGCTAAGTCTTTTCCTTGGGGTGGTCATTAATGCTCTAGAAATATGCGTGAATATGATCGCTACTGATATAGATGGCCTGACACTGGTTTCCATAATTTCCCATCCATTCCATGATTTAGAAGATAAGCCAGGGGTTACTGTTGCTTTCTCAATGTTCAGTTTTTCATGGGAATGCCCTGAACACCATTGGAATTTCTGCAATAATGCGTGAGTTACGGTTTTGCCACAAACAATCCGTTTAAGTCAGTATCATCAAATGCCGTTGAATTGACATAAGATTTGCCTGTTAGTGTTTCTTAAAATACTGCATTGGTCTTTCAGTTTTTTGCGTTTGCTTTGGACTAACCATCCAGTGCTGTATCTCGCATATATATTATGTATATAGTTATTTTCATCATTTATCGCTTCAATGCTCCGGTTTTCTGTTCCACTCCTGCCATGATTTTCTCTATCAAAATGTGTACTTAAATATGAATGTTGTGAAACCAACATAATATATACCGAGTGCTACACTTATTCAACGCAAAGAATGCTACCCATTCAAAATTCCTTCAAACATGTTCTCGTTGGTCAGCAACATGTTCACGGGTTGCTACAGATGAAGCTGTAGACTGAGATTCATCTGGGTCGGAGTTTAATGAATAATTCCTTGGGTGGTTCTGGTTCCATTTTGCTTAAGACATGTTCATTACAAGATGCCAGCCCAAGTGTAGTACCAATATGTATTCTTTCTCTGATAACCTAACATGAGGGTGATAAACAATTTTATTCGTCTAAGATTTCGACGTCTTCGTCTTTGTCAGAGCCGATGGACTAATTTCTGTTAAGAACAGAGGACTGCTAATCTCATTAACCTTAGCCGTCATCGCTTGCGCCTCCGGAATCTTATTGCAGATGGTCCTCAATATTGCATGCAATTCCAACTGTAATACGCAATGGTACATATCAGCACCTGGGATCCAAGCAAAACTTCCATCACTCACAGGTCGGCAAATAGTTTGTAGACTCGTCTGGGAAAAACTCTTTCTCATGCACAAAACTGGCAACTGATTGCAACTTTCAACTTGCTGGCAACTTGGCGACCCTTGGTCAAGCCTTGGAAAATCTCTGCTAGAGTGGCTCCAAATTCATGATATAGGCAAAGTCTTGAATTGGCAGCTGAACTCATACGCAGATAAAATCCCGATTTGGAAGATGAAGCCGCACGAAAATTCGAAAGCCGTTGTAGATCACAGTTGTGAGAACATGAAGCGAATAAAGGTAATGGTGGGGTATATATATACACATATATATACATATATATACACATATATATATACATATACATACACACATATAATGTCGGGTCATCGAAATGGACAGATATATGCAATGGAGGTAGAAGTTTTATACCAAACAGATGTAGAACATTCCTAAATGAAGTTAACATTCTTCAATAAGATATTATGATAAAGTTACTTATCAAGGTTTTAAAAGTGGAATAAGAACTCGATTGAGATTCATTGCATTGTATTTTCATCAGGTTTTCTTTCAGCCTTAAAGAAGACAGATTATTCACCGAATATTCTATAAACATGTTATGAATAAATATTGGCAAAGGGCTCATGGTCGACACGATTGATGGCAAGTCCCAGCACACATACTCAAAGCAGACTTCCGATCACAGAGGTTTAATATACTAAAGAGACGACAGTAGGTACCGTGATCAACGCATATCGTTCCACGAATCACATCTGTGATGTTAGAAGCTGGTTTAGTGCTGGTATTCCACGATTTTCTGGACGCTTTGTTATTTTTCAGTGAAGACGTCGTTTTGATGATAACCGGCAATGGGGTAGAAGTTCCTGCAAGCATCACTTATTTATCCCTAACTAACTGACCTAGCTACCACTGATCTCTGTTCAGTTAATTGTTTCACCTTTTTTAATGGCGTTTTTGTGCTCTGTTTAATAAAAGTAGGTCTTTCCACTGCAAAAGTGGAAAAACGATGAACTACGACCCGACGGCAGTGCTAAAAAATTGAAGAAGTGCACCATGGAAGAATTATGGAAAGCTTTGTACAACTGAGAGAGACTTCAACTGGCCACATTTTCCACACCGGTGGAAGTGGAAAAGTCTGAGCCTATGCCTAAGCACATAGAAATAAGTGTGCCGTTCTTATTATGTGCACCAAGATTTCTGCTCGTTTTTAACAGCTCTAAACAACACTACACTTATGAGTTTCTTAAACAACGGTAAAATTTTAGGAACCTGCTAGTTCTTCTTACGGTATACAGCGGTAGTTATTAGCCCGTTGCCTTCACATTCAAGTCTTTTATCTTGAAAATGGTCAGGGTTGTTGGCATCTATTACAAAAAGAAAACGTGTAGTTTTGTTTTTTTTTTCGATTAAAAAATGACATCCAGGTAATGCACCCACAATGATGATGGGATTTGCAAAACTCCCAACAAATGCGAGCCTCGAACCCTCGGTTACCTTAACCGTGGGTTCACGCGCTACCCACTGCACCACCAACACCCTTGTCTTAAGTTACTTTCAGCTAGGCTTTTGCCGCAACGATGCAATCGGCAATCACTCATCGATGGTAATGGTCTGCGAAGTACAAATCGGCAGTTGAGGAGAGGCTGTAGTCGAACTCACAATGTTTAAATTGTTATCTTAACCGTTTTATTTATTGCCTATTTTTTAACGGCAGGATCTACATTGCGAAATATATAGAAATACAGCTGAGAGACAGGCGAAACGAAGGATCCGCATGGTGTGGTGGTGAGCGCGTTACTCCCGGGAAAGGACATTAGCGCGTTCGTTCCCCACCGCAAACACCTGCGGTCCGGAGTTTTGCAAATATCTCAGCATCATTAAAGTTTAAATTTTTATTTGTTACATACTTTAATTTTCTGCTAGGTCGAAGATCACCTAAGGCTCCGAGTTTTTCAAATATTTCAGCATTATTGCGGTTGCGCTTCGCAAAATACCCTGCTGTGAAAAAATAATGGGGAGTAAGTAAAAGTTATACATTTAGGTAATACCTTCTTGGACTGTTGAGCTAATCCGAGGTAGGTAAAAAGCTTTTTCTTTTAACCCTTTTATTTACTGCCTTTTTTCTTTTTAATGGCAGAGTATGTTGCGAAATATAACTCGTATATAATGCGGAGATATTTGCAAAATCTCCGGACCGCAGGTGTATGCGGTGGGGACGAACGCGCGCTGTTGTCCTTACCGGGGAGCAGCGCACTTCACCACTACACCATCCGGGTCCCGGTAAGGACAACAGCGCGTGTTCATTCCCCACCGCATACACCTGCTTTTTCTTTTGTTTTATAAACATTTCGCTAAACGTGTAAATACATTCTGTGGTCCGAAAATCTCATGAGCATATGTACATACTCAAAAACAGAACTCAAGGATTCGCAACAACTACAAGTGTTAAGAGGAATGTAGGTAAACGTACTCATTGAACTATGCGATAATTGGTTTCTTAGGTAAAGTGCTCATTCTTTTGAAATAAGGTGGCGATTCAGTAGAGTCACTCTCTTAATTAAACGTTGAAATTCACTGATTATGTGTGAGAACACTTTAGAAGACACAAGTCACCTTTAGACGATGTCCTATTGATCCATTTGTGGAATGTGTCGGACACTGTATAGCCAAAAGATCTCGGAACTTGCTTTGTTGCTGAAGAAAAAATTGATCTTGGGATAAGAACCTCACCAAAAGTTCTCTTATACGAGGTTATCAAATAGCGAGTATAACTGCGAATCACTCTTCAAGCATTTCGAGAACACAGAATGTAACGAAATATTAGCGGAAGTTAAATAAATATTCCACTGAAGACCTTGCTTCAACCTATTATCGTATCACATTATCAAGACACAAAAAGCGTGTTACTAACTAAGGTTGACTCGCCGCTTAGTACTCGGCTCAACGAATTGCGCCACCATTTCTTCGGCAACTACCTTGATTGCTTCGAACGTTTCAAGGCCAGTGGCCGATATTTCCCGCTCGGGAAGAAGAAAACCATAACTGGAATTAAGAATATCTTATAAAATATTTCGATGAAAACCAAGGAAGTACTTAGCTACAAAACCAAGCAAGATGTTAGAACCTCTTAGTTATTTAGGGAATGGAGGCATGTTTTCCCGTTGCTGATAGCACCGATAGAGTAGAAAATTAGCTGAAGTAAATGGAAAGGAAAGGCCTCGGTTGGTGCAGCGGATAAGAGATGAGCCCGTGGTATGGCTAATCGCGAACTCGAAGCGCACTTGAGAGTCCGAGTTTTGCTCACGGCTGTATCATTGTTGTTGTGCTTTTCACCGTTTATTATTTGTTGCAAAACTTATTTACTTAGATAATACAGTCTGTTCCAGTAAAACAACATGGTCTTATTTACACTTTCTTACATAACTACAGTAATTGTAGTGCTGCGGATTCCTCAGAGCATTCTTCAAACTGCTTGCCATTTAACGGCAATGGTATCTTTATCGACCTCCATTATATCATTCACATGCCACCCATATAATATTTGATCTCTTTAATAACGAAGTAAGTTGTGTGGACACTATTAAGGTCTCCCATTCTTTGCTGTCACTTTCACAGAAGCTCAGTGGGTCCCATTCACTGGAGTGACAGGGAAAGCACAATCTTCTTCTGGATTTCAGACAAACGTAAAGAAGAAAACGAAGTACATTTTTTGTCTCAGACGTTTTCCATTGTTTCATACAATAGATTAGCCACAGGTGGTCACCGGAATCTGTACGCTCATCGTTACGAGAAAGAGGCATAGGACATGAAGAAACCACTGCACATCACAGTTCAACGTCCAAGTAGGGAGGATGGCGGAGCGAGCCATTGGAGAAAAACAGGATAATTAGTGGAATATGAGTAAGTTTCTCACTGAAACTTAAGTGTATGTTCAAGAGGAAATAAGTGGGTTGAATTTGAATGCTAAAAACGTGGTACCTACCCAGTAGTGCCGCTCTTCGGTCTCAGTTCAATGAGATAGGCATAGCGGACTTGCAGTGAACCCTTTGCCCAGTCATGAGAACCGCCAGATGCTTCGTCTAAAAGGCAAGGTCCAGGAACGGATAACAAGCAAAAATGAATCTTTGAGTTGATTTCTATGTTAAAAGTATATACTTGTTTACTGGTAATGCCTCTTGAACTAAAGAAACTCTTCTGATATCAAAAGTGCGAATTGTGCTTTGACGCCTTGTTGCAAAATCGATATAGGTGAAAGTTTATTGTTTATTTTCGTTGCTCTCACACAGCAAATCCGCTCCAGTTCCAACTTGGTATTTGGTGCCATATATTTTCAACAGTGCTTTGGCCGCTTTTTCCGCAAGTGGTCGCTAAAACTGATTACATTGTGCGGAAGTAGAAGAATAAACATAGAAGAAATAAATAAAATCCGACAATGGAACGATCTATGGATTCTGTACAACTAGAGCGATACGAAATGCTTAATGAGAAAGTTGCTTTTGTTGTTTGACCTCAAACAAGCACTTTTTCCAAGGTTGCAATTTCTTCTATAGATGATTCCCATTATATATGCTACGCAACACATGCTTTGTGAGTAGCGGCGAAGAAGCGATGAACTGTTCTACTCACATTGCCGATACCCCGTGGGGATGTGATTATAGGCGTGCGACATGGAGCGAAATAGAGTGACACGGTGAAATGCGGCGCGACATGGTGCGACAGGGAGTGGTACGGTGCGGCGGGACGGGCGAACACTTCTGGCGCTACTTGTGACCGCTGTGCTCGCTCATGCCCATCAAGTATGACTATTACTTCATCCGGGATCGCTGGGTTTTCGAATCAGTTAAGTCAGACTAAATCTGTGTCGATTATTTCACAGCTACATCACTTTTTCTCAATTGTCTTCGTTCCATTCAATGTCTTAGCGTTTTGGACAACTCACCAAAGCCTTGTGATAATCTTGTGGATAGCTCCGTTTTCGATGACCGTAAGGAATGAGCCACATTTGTGAATAGGAATGTAGTGTGATAAACGCCTAAATGTGAATAGAGTTTGTTAGCACTGGTCAATACTACAAATTGCGTTAAAGTCGTATGCGCTTTCTTAACTCCGTTGTTTCCAGACTTTATTAAATGACATAGTTATTCTTCGGAATGGTGTCACTTTTCATGGGCCTTCGTCACATCTAAAAATGGGCCACTATTCCAAATCAAGCAACCTGACCATGAAGGGAAATCACCAAAAATAAGTATAGCTTCGTCGTTTGGATTTCTTTTTTCCGCCTTTTACAAATATTAGATCGTAAGTGGTGGTTATCGGACCTGTCAAGAACTCTACAATACCTCGAAAATATTAGCCCAGTGTGCTGTCAGGTTGCTGTTTGGTTTTTTAAGTGGATTAACATGGTAGGTTTGAGGGAAAGTTTCCTGCATGCTGCATCGCTGAAATGATCGATGGATCCGATTAGTTACTTTAACCTCCTTAGAACTCTACAACACCTCGAAAATTCAACCATTCCTTTTTTCTGTACCAGATTTCTAACTACTTTGCTTCCCGTATTTCTTCTGTATTTTATTAATACACAAAAATTTTTGCGATTAAAAAAGGACTATAACAAAAAGATTTCATACGCAATTTGAATTGATCTCGCAGAGCTGGAAGTCGTTGTATCTAAGAAAACTCCAAAAAAAAAACGAAACTGTGTCATCACAATGGAAAGCTGTTAGAGCGATGGTAGTGGTGTGTTCAATACACGCAAACTCTTGGTTCCATCCCATGCAAGGCGGCTAAGCTTTCTTTTTTCCAGGGTGGGGAAGTTAGTGCCATACTTGTATATCAAGCTCTTTCCATCCACAAGACCTAGAAACACCCTAACAAGGGTCTCTTAATATCTTAGGCTTTCGGATAGAGGAAACCGAAGCAACTAGTGTTAAAGTGCATTCATACTTACTTACTTGATACTTGAACGACCCGTCCTCACTGGTTGTGCGGGCCCTAGCATAACCTCCATTTTTCGGAGATTTGCTGGTTAAGCCATTGTGTTTCCCTGGAATCCCTAGGTCAGCCCGGCCAAAGTCTGCTCCAGGTCTTTACCACCATAAGCAGTTGAAGCCCTTGTGGATCAGAGGGAGATTTGATTGCAACCATGCGACTTTGATAAGAGGACGGTGGTGGATCCTGGTATTGGTTTACTCTTAGCTAAGCTTCCTGATGGAAATGCCGGACTCCTTCTCAGCTTGGGAGATCCTGCCAGAGGATGAATCCCCGCTGCATATCGCAGTCCGGCACCCAAGAACAGATCTCAACCACGATGGTAAACCACTGGGAAAAGAGAGCATTCATAAAGTAGGCCAAAAATCGTTAAGCTGTGCTGAATACATACGCAGCTCCAAAAATGTTCGTGGGCTATAGATGCGAGAAGACGACTCGAATGCAAAAAGTACAGGGATCAACACAATATTTGGTATTGGATCTTGTAACTATTCAAAGTTGTTAAATGATATTTTAAAAGTGTGTCCACTCACTTAACAATTCCGAAAAAGTATCTGCTATAATTTTTTATGCCAATTACAACTCGCATTCGACTGGAGGACTCACCTCGGGTTTGTTCGCTTGGAGATAGTCTCGAACTGCTACTGTTTCCGGTTCGGAAAATGCTTTCAGGCCAGGGTACGTGTCGTGACAGGGATCTGTTGACGAGCCGGCAGCTAAAAACTTACGTGTATTATCTGCTCCAATCTGTCGTTTCTTCCTATTTAAAAAAAACATGTAGAAACTCATATCATAATTCTTACGTGCACGTATAAATAACTATTTACCTCATTTACCCGCTTATCTATTTCTATTGGCTTCACTAGCATTATTCCATTTGTAAGAAAAAAATCTCCCTCTGATCCACAAGGGCTAAAAATAAAGTTCGCGAACGAAAAGAGGAGAGAAGAAAAGAGTTGAGGAGAGTTTGAGCTGCTATGGAATTTCAAAGAACAATAACTATCAAAGAATAAGAGGACAGGAGATAAAACCTAAATGAGCTAGTACAGAGTAGTCCATTGAGCAAACATGAGCTCTAGCTTTACAGTGAGTTAAAAGGTGAGAAAAGTTATAGCGAAAGCAACTTCCATTGCCTTTTTCTCTGCAGATTAGCCCAGCACTATGATCGATGGCTCGTCGATAAAGAAATGTGACCGCTTTAAAAAAAAGTTTAGGAAGCGCCGGTGCTTCATGCAGTTTCAAATTTGCACACTGCCCAATGAAGATAACTGTTTCCTTCACTAGTAAGAGCATATTTTAGGTGCAAGATGGACTTACATGACCAGAACCAGTCGAAATTTCTGTTCAGATCGACACCTGCGCAGCAGCCAGTGTGGAAACGTTCGTGTTTGCAATTGGAAGGACGACGATTCTTTCGCCACATCCGATTCTGTGCGATAGCAATCTACATCTTACTACCAAATAAGCTCATAAAATTACTTCGACGAAACTCCTACATTTAACCAGTGTAGTAAAAAAAGAGACAAATAGTATTTGTTGGAAATCATCAAGAAACTCATTCTTCTTTCACTTTCATTCTTTTAATAACAAATATAGGCCAAAAATCGGTAAGAATGAAATCAAATGACACATCGTTGTAATCGAATTCCCTTAAACCTCGGTTTAAATGATTAATATACTTTGCTTCACAATTTTAACTTATTATCTACTGCCTACTCTTTCTAACAGCAGGGTATACATTGCGAAATATAACTTCAATGATGCTGAGATATTTGCAAAACTCCTGACCGCAGGTGTATGCGGTGAGGAGCGAACGCGCTATTGTTCTTTCCGGGTAGTAGCGCGCTCACCACAACACCATGCGGGCCCTTCGTTTTGCCTGTCTCTCAGCTAGTTCTATTGATCTTTTACGATCAGCAATCACCCGTTATAAGTTAAAATTGTGATTATAACAGTTCCCAGGATCGACCTTGTATTAACCTCGGCATTGGAATAGGAATGTGTCGTTTTCTTGTTCAGCAATCGCAAGGTTTTTCAACAGCATACATTTACTTCCATAGAAAAAGACAATACAATGCAACACTAGCTGACGTTCCATGCACAGGAGACTAAAACGTCAGCGCGAAAACTTCTTAATGCTTTTTGGATAAATGCCAAAAACCCTGCAATGAATAGCAGGGATGAATGCCCAGGGGTCATGCGCGACCTGACCCCGTATGTTCGCATCAATTTCTGATGTGGGATGGTGCAGTCATCAATTATATGCGACTATAATCAGCTGTTCTAAACTTCCTCATTGGAAGACACGTAAAAAGTGGTGAGTTTTTTGAGAAGCTGTTGATCATGTAATTACCATAGAGTGTTTCGTCTTTTTGTAGGTGTTACTAAAGCGCTTGGGCTAGTAGATTGTATATCAGTATACCCTTCCAGGCTCTGAAGAAGGCAATACTGCCGAAACGTCAGTTAGTGTTGTATTGTATTGTGTTTTTCTATGGAAGTAAATGCATGTTGTTTAAAAGCCTCGTGATTGCTGAACAAGAAAACGACGCATTCATGTGATTATAACTGCAGCCTCAGCTTAACTGGGTTCATTGCCGATTTGTGGTCTTCGATTCAATCCTGTTGACAGGTGATTGCTGATGGTAAAAGGTCAATAGAACTAGCTGAGAGACAGGCGAAACGAAGGACCCGCATGGTTTAGTGGTGTACGCGCTACTCTCCGGAAAGGACAATAGCGCGTTCGTTCCCCACCGCATACACCTGCGGTCCGGAGTTTTTCAAATATCTCAGCATCATTGGAGTTATACTTTGCTTCATTGATAAACTAACACGTGGTTGATAAAGACGTTTATTCGGCTGACATTTCAACATCTTCGTCCTCCTCAGAGTCGATGGTCCGCAGTCCTTCGTCTTTTTTCGTTGCAGTGTCTTCGTTGCTGTATCTAATCGGATATTCTTCAGTGAAGTGATCCATCTCTCGAATGAGACAGCCTCACGCGGCAGTGCTCTTTTATGCGTTATGCGATGCGTTAGCCGAATAAATATGTGAGAACAACCTTGTGTTAGTTTATCAGTGAAGCAAACTACATTGATCATTTGTGCTGAGGTTTAATGAAAGTCGGTTTACGATAATATTATCATGCTTTCCGTTAGCTAATAATGAACCGGACTTCTGCAGGAGGGATTCTAACGAAAAACAAGTCATCACTGGACAATCATATCAACTACAGCCCTTCTGTATAAGAGACCATCGTCAGGTGGGATTGCCTCATTCGAGCAATAGTCTTTCACTTTTTTTCCTTTTCTTAGCGATTTCTTTCACTTAAGGAGATCCGACTCATTGCGATGACGAAGACACCACATCGAGAGCACGAACGACTGTGACATCGACTCGGTTCACAGGCTCCAAGGAGGACGAAGATGTCGAAATATTAGCCGAACAAACATCTGGGAACAATCTCGTATTAGCTTACCAATAAAGCAAGGTATATTAATGAAATAACACAGTTGCTTCCTCCTATATTCAATCCGCAATGTTTATCCAGTCGAAGAAAAGAAAAAAACACTATGAGCTGTAGGTACCTTAAGACGTGAGTACTCGTATCCATCAGGGTTCATAACCGGAAGGACGTAGAAGTCGATGTGGTCGAGAATTCTCCGTATTGATATGTCGTTGTCGTATCCATGAACCAGCTGTAAACAAGATTTATTTCGCCTGCGTGGTTGTGAACGTTAATTAAAAGCGATTTAAACTTTAAATAAAGTGGTGTTTTCCTGAATTTTCGCAACCAAATGCGTTCCCAAGAAGTTCACACCTGTAGTAACTCGAATCATTGATTAGAGGAAGTGGAACTAAACGAACTATTTCCTTCGGGTTACTCCAGCGACTCTAGGCCAGAAAACATTCCCACTCCCATTGAAGAAATGCCGTTTTTACTAACTAGTTTCGTCTCATTCATTTGCTTATTGTTAGCGTTAAAATTAGCTGCTCGTTGGGGCGCGTGTACTGAAGTGGACGATTAGAGGTGCCCTGAATACGTAAGAGATCAATCCGGATCAATCGCTAGCTCGGTCCCACGCCACAAGTGGTACTGGCAATATTTGGTAGAGTAGTAGAACTAAATTAATACGTTAATAGTTCGTTGATCTGGTCAGGTATGCACGCAATCACCTCTACAACACTTTATGAAGATGAATGCATGGCACCTTCCTCAGGAAATGATCAGTACCGAACGCCTTATCTTTCATCCTTTAGTTTTCATGTTTACCTCATGAACAATGTACATAGCAGTGGCTGGCGCGATCCATTCCCTGGCATGAATCCCCGCATCAATCCAGAATGCAACTTTCTTCTCGATCTCGGAACGACGCTTGGTGGAAATCTGAAGTAGGCTATAAATTTCAATGGAAACTTCTATTCCAATTTAGGTAAACGACAGAAATGAGCTGATTTACATGGAGATATCACATATTTGGTGGGAGTAATCCAGAAATCCCGCTAGCGGCCACTTGCACTGAGAAATGTCAATGTATCCCAAATCCGGGCACAGGATTGCTCAATTTTTTTAATGGTAATGGACACATTATACTCCAAACAAATTTTCTTCGTAAAGGATTTCAACAATTTCTGCCTTCGTTTACTACCAAATGGCAACAGGTTTTTAAAACACTTTTCTATAAATAAGGAGTAATTCGCGTGTATTCGGCTGAAAGAAACGATATTTCCCACTTTGATGACAAGGAGTGATCGATTCTCATGCGATTCACCAATGTCGATTAGTGAGATAATGTTCGGGTTTTTCTTCCTCAATCTCAGCATCTCCCCATAGATTTCGTCCAGTGAATGGTACTTGTCGTATGAATAACCATCGGATTCCGAATGAAGAAACACTGGAGGTGATTTCTCATTTTCGATAGCTCTGGAAGTGCAATGGAAAATAGCAGTTGGAAGAGCTCTAAAAGTTTTCGAGGTGTAATTAAAATGAAAGTGACTCTTTATGAAGCAGCCCATAGTAGGAAATGCAGGAAAAAAACGTAGGTGCGATGAGACTACTGTATAGAATTACTTACTCTTGAAAAACGTTAAAGCCCCTTTCTAAGATCTTCGCTATATTCAATCCTTCGTAAGAAAATGTTGTACTTTTATGACTCAGTGACATAGTTTGTGTATCTTGAGGTTTCAAAATTAATGGTGAAGCGGTAGGATATGACAAAGCTATCCGAAAAAACGGATCCGAAGATAGGTGTTTCTAATTCTACGGTTTTCGAACACTTAAGACAACTTATCGAGAAAGTTAAGCGAACGTCGAATGACTACGTTAGTACACAAGCGTCGAAATGACTTGTACAAGAGTTGCATAATAAAAGGATGATGGCAGCTCTCAAGCTTCAAACCGACATTTTGCAACCCGTAGTAAATTTCATTAGTTGCAATAATAACAATGGATTGCTTTTTTATTTACTGCCTACTATAATTTTCACGGCAGGGTACTATGCAAAATCAACCACAATGATGCTGAGATAATCGCAAAACTTGGACCCTCGGCCAGATCGAACCATGATTTCTCTTGGACTCACGCATTGCATACTGCGCTACGGAGACCCTTACTAGTGCGGTCAGCAATCAGTCATCAATGTGTCAAATACACCCAACAATATGTATTTTGCTTACTTTTCTTTGTCAAGGGTCGTATTTAAATGCAAAAGAAATTGAATAAGTCGGATTCCATCCTGCAGTATGTGATGATGTTCACCAATGAATTGCTTGCTTCTTGGCTGCTGGCTTGTGTTGGAAATTTTAAAAATCTAAGCTTCGTTTCCAATTTCTCGAGAATATTAATTCCAAGCAAACTAAAAAGTCGGCGAAAATTTTATAAAATTTGTGTAAATCTTGGATAGTTCAGAGCATTCCCATTAAACCCATAAGTTTTTAACTGATCCACTATTTACTAACCGAGAAATTACTCTGTCTTTTCAAAAACCCACCTTCATCGCTTGAGGGTTAATGAACGCATATTAGGCGAAAGGCGCAACTAGTCTTCTCAAGGAAAATTTTCTCACCAGTGGTAATACCAACAGTTTAGGATAGGTTCTAAAACACAAACTGTTGTAAGTCGTTCAACATGACGATATAGTGGAGCTGTTTTGCTTCTAAGTCCCGCAAGAAGACGGGCGCGTCCCCAGGGCCAATAGTCAATTCCACAACCGCACCTGAACTTTATGGATAGTTAGCCGCAATTCCTTCTAGATGAACACACCACAAAGAATTTTAACTTATTATTTACTGCATACTCTTTTTAACGGCAGGGTATATATTGCGAAATATAACTTTAATAATGCTGAGATATTTGCAAAACTCCGGACCGCAGGTGTCTGCGGTGGGGAACGAACGCGCCATTGTCCTTTCGTGGGGGAAACGCGTTTACCACCACCACACCATGCGGGTCCTTCGTTTTGCCTACCTCTCAGCTAGTTCTATCGACAAACAAGTGAAAGAACGTTTTTCTCATATAGATGCTTTTCTCATACTTCCCACTCTATTAGTTCTATTTTTTTCTTAGTAAGTCGTTCAAATGTCCCGTATCACCCGATGTGCTGGCTCCTGCTTGGCAACATCACCCAGGTGACCCAATATGTGTTAGATCACCTGTAGCTAAGCAATACGTTGTTTTCTCGCAAATTGTCACATTTAATAGTGTCGTTTCTTCTGGAAGTCCGAATTTGAGAGAACAACTTGCTGCCTGGTAACTTGGATACCTCCAGAGTAACAGCGAATGCTCTATTTAGTCCACTTGGCACCCGAAGACGATGTAAATAAGGCAGATCCACCTTTAAGTTGTAGTCTTCTGCTAACCTTTTTTTATTTACCGAATAGATCGCCTAATTATAGTAATCTTTTGAGGGCATCACTACTTATCGAGGTAATTGAGCTTCCTCCCTTGTAGTCAAAACTGTTTCGGGCAGATTTTTCTGCATCCATTAGGAATTTCATAAAAATGGGGTTTAGTGTTGTCATTTCGTCCTGGAGCGGTCGGTACTTGTTACAGTATAAGCTGCCATCACAGGAATCGCTGTGGTTCAGTTATAATCAGAGTTGTAAGAGCACATTGAAAACGCTTTCCGATTCACGAAGAGAAGCGGTTTCTTGTAGTGAGAGCATAGGAACCCTTTACCGCTCGCGTTTCAAGGTATCGAAACATTCAACATGTCATTGAAGATCGTGGATTCTTATGTGTCGAACCCACACGAAATCCCAACCACTTCATTAAGTGATTGCTGCCAGACAACGAAAGGAGGTCACGCACTGGCACGACATATGAAAACGGATAGCCTTCATAATTACCTACGTAATCAACATGACAAACGAAGAAAATACCTTTTGAGGATCCTTATGCCTCTACCAAACTATTACAATCTAGATTGCTCTAACCCGAGTACTTTTTCAAGCATTTCTTTTCGCTAGCATTCATGATCACCTGTATCATCCGTAGTCCCGTTGATTGTCGAGTGACTCGAGCGGGCTCCAGTAAATCTTCCATTTTTCCCTGTCGCGTGCAAGAGTAGCCCAGTAGGTTCTGCTCGCTGTAGGGACTCGCCGAGCATCATATCTTTCTTCAAGGCTCTTTGTGAAGAACTCTGACCATCGGGTCGGTGGTCTTCCGGCAGCCACGTTTGATATCTCGAGGAATCCAGTCACTAACGCCTCTTGTCCATGGGTTGTCATTCATACGCTTCACGTGTCCGGCCCACCTTATCTTCGACTGCTTGGCGTACAAAACGGCATCTTTGATTTTTGGTCGCTGACGCAGATGGGAGCTTCGGATCCTATCCCTTACTTGCGTGACACAGGATACTCCTAGCTTCGTCCTTTCGCCTGCACGTTCGATAACGCTGAGTAACCTTTCATCCTGCTTACACAGCGACCAGGTTTCTGACGCATACGTTAGGTCATGAGGTACCGTTGATGTCCACGCGGTCTGCATCGATCTGCTGATTGTATTAGTTATGCAGATAGAGAATTCTCTATCTGATTGGGAAATTCCCTATAGTTGAGTCGAAAAGGTGGATACGGAGTCGGGTGTTCTTTGTTCTCTTCACTACATTTTCGATGCTCTTGAAAGCTCCCCAAGCCGCTCGCTTCTTTCGGCTCACCTCTGGAGCTGGGTCGTCCATCATATTGATTTCCCGACTTAGATAGATATAACTGGAGCATTCGGAGAAATTCGTTCCATTGATCGCCACTGGGGCATGCGAAACCAATCCGTCCTTTATGAACATCATTTTCATGAGAATTAGTCGTAGACCAATCTTTGCACAAGCTTCATCAAAGTCGTCAGGCATACGTTCCGCTTGGCTAATATTTGGTGTTATAAGGACGATGTCATCAGCAAAGCGAAGGTGGTGTAACTGCCGACTGTCGATTTTCACTTCCATATTAACCCATTCCAATGTTCGCATGACGTTTCGGAGACTGGCAGTAAATAATTTTGGTGAGATGGTATCGCCTTGCCTAACTCCTTTTTTGACGTCAATGTTAGTGTCGTTGTAGAATGGTGATACCTTGGTTGTGAAATTTTTGTACAGCTCACGGAGAATCTTTATGTCCTGAGTAGGGACTCCTTGAGTATCGAAGGCTTCCAAGACAGCTTCTATCTCAACTGAATCAAAGGCCTTCTATAAATCGATGAAGGTGATACAGAGCGGTCTTTTGTACTCTCGCGATACTTCATTGAGCCGTGTTACCGTGTGGATGTGGTCCACCATACCGAATCCTTTTCGAAACCCTGCTTGCTCACATGGCTGTCCTTCGTTTATTGTTCTGTCAACCTTGTTTAGGATAACTCGAGTGAAAAGTTTGTAGACGACGGACTACAAGCAGATTGAGCGATAACTGCCGATATCGTGTAGGTAACCCTTCTTGAACAATAACACGCTCTTGCTGGTCTTCCATTGAGTAGGGACCTTGCATTCAGACAGGCAACGTGTGAAGAACCCAGCCAGTGTGTTTACAAGGACTGGCAGAAGGTTCTTCAGGTGTTCTGGTTTTATCCTGTCCGAACCTGGTGCTGTTCGATTTTTCACCGACGAAATGGCATGTAGGATTCCGGAAGGGAGAACCGGTGGTACAACATATCCATCCTCCTTTATTCCATATTAGGAAAGGAGGACGTGGATGTTGAAGAGATCTGAGTAGTATTCGTGAATTATTTTCTCCACTCCCTTTATGGATGCTATAGCAGTTCCGTTTGGACATCGAAGTGCAATCATCTTGGTCTCATAATTGGTGAAGCTTCGGTGGGCTTCGCGAACGTTTTTCCCAGCCTCTGCAGCTTCGGCCATTACTGCTGCTCTTCTCTCTTTAAGATCTTCTTTTATCGCCTGTCTGCATTGTTTTGCAAGTTCGGACGTTAGTTCGCGGTTGCCTGTAGCCCGTGCGATTCCACGCTGGCGTATCAGCTCGAGTGGTTCTGGAGACAGACATCTCTTGGTGAATTTCGATCTCTCAGCTTTCATAACGCTAACCTGAAGATGCTGATTGAGCCGATCGTATCCTTCGTCGATGTTATCGACAACGGCCCTTTCCCAACAGCCGTCTAGTGAATTGTATAAGTCCCAGTTTGCGGTTGTTCTGGGGCTTCGGTTTTGGAATTTAGCGGCTTTTTCTCCTTCCCGCAAGAAATAGAATCTTGCACGAAGGAGACGGTGGTCTTGATCCCGTGTAGGATTTTCGGACAACAACGATATCGGTAAAGCAAAACCTTCTATATACTATGATGTGGTCTATTTCGCCATGGTACTCGCTATTGGGAGACTCCCACGTCCAGTGCTGAAGGTGGGACCTCTCGAATTGTAGTTACCATGGATTGCCTTGGTCGCCATGATAAACTCAATAGGCGCTCACCCTGTTCGTTCCATTCTAATCCGTCGGTCCTAATGTGACGTTGTTCAGACGCTCTTCTTGGTCAAATCTTGGTGTTGAAATCTCCAATGATGACCTTGAAGCATGTGTGGTCTTCTCTGTAGAGCTTCTCCAGGTCCTTATAGAATGCTACGATTTTTTCTTCGTCATAGTTTGATGTCGCGGAGTAAACGACGAAGATTGTCAAAGTCGGAATTGATCCACGTCTTTTTAATCGTAAACGTGCGATTCGGGTTGTAAGTTGTTCGAATGAATCGGTGTTCATGGACAAACTCGTGTTGACGAAAACGCTGACGCCGCCGACTCCTCTACTTTCGCATGTCCCGAGGAACAGTTCTTCTCCGGTGTCATAGACGGCGTTGAAAGGCTGGCGTCTCCTCGTCTGAGCCAGGCCGATGACATCGTACTTTATCCTTTTTGCTTGCTTGAACGAGTCTTCTATCGAGGACTCGGATGCAAGTGTATGTGCATTGTAGGTACAGATCGTAACCGTAGTTCTTTGAAATCCAGGCACCTTCCGTTGGCCCTGAGATTTTAGCAGCCTCTCCATACTCGTTCTACCCAACGCTGCGAAATTGGGGGCTTTCTCGGAGTCAGGGGAATGGGGCCCGTTTTTATCACTGTTTTTTGATACCCACGTATGGCATGCTGGGCTCTGAACATGGGGACTGGGTATACTCACAGGTAGCTTGCCAGGCTCTCCCAGGGTGGAAATGGAGCTTATTTGTTGGAGGCGACTCCTAACTGCCTCCGACATACTTCCCAGCCACTTGATTGCAGGCTTTTAGCCGAATTGACTCGTAGAATACAATCTGCATAAGCGAGAACGCACCCACACACGCATACATGAATACGTCTACCAAATACAGAAAGTATATGTCAAATCGGTGCAGCAGAAACAGGGGGTCTCTCTCATTGTTCCACCTGCGTCTCAAGGAAGTAAGGGTCGCTTTTGGTCCGCGATTAACCCCCTATATGCCACCTTTGGACGCGCCACGTAGCCTCGCAAGTAAACATTCACGATAGGGACTAAAATAGTAGATGCGTTAGGACAAAGTCTTCGTGATTTCTATTTAAAAATGAGGTTTTTATTAAAACATTTTATAAAAAAGTTGATAGGGCAGTGCATAAAAACCGTAATTAATGAGTTTTCCATTGATCTAATACTCTACAGATGTAGAAGAGTTCGTTTACAAATTTGAATAATTTCTTAGTTTGACGCAAGAAGAGAGAGATAGATACCCACCGACCTTCGTTGGAGGCTGCCAGAAATCCAAATCATATGGTGTGAATTGTTTGTAGAGCGCGTTCAGGTACTGTAGTGTCTCGTTGTTGTTGGGATAGACCCGAATCAGCTTGTAGCTAAATATCCACATTACAACCTTCAGAAGAGGGAGTTATCGTGCAAATCTGCACGTTACTTCCGAGACCAATACTTTTTTGAAAGTAAAAGGCGTCTTAGGGCATATTTTGGGCAAGCAGCCGTCGAGCAGTATGGGATTAAGGAACACTGCACTATTTTTTTTAGAGTTCTTTACATGATTAAACACTTTTTCATAGTTTTTCTACTATTTTAAAAACTAAAAACCACTTGCAGAGGTGGTTCAAGCGATGGGAAACTATTGAAGAGAGAGTGACAAAACATTTGAAGGGAGAGTGACAAAACATTCAATTGATTTAGTATTAAGTGGTAGAACTGGTGCTCAGAGTTTCTTGGCATTGGGAAAAGCTTCTGGTTTGATAGATTGCAAATGCTGATCCATACTAATACAGATTTAACGGTTTTTTTTAAATTCTAGATTTTAACCAAGTGGAAAGCACAGGCTGATTGCGAATTTGTTCAGTGTTCAACATTTCTGTTTTCAATTCTATGAAGACAGTGGTAACTCAAAGTTTTATGAAACCAACGGTAAAAAATCCATTAGATGTCAGTCATTAACCTCGAGGTTGGAAGAAATTTCCGATATTCGAAAGCAGCAGTTTACCGTCCACTTAGCCTTGTTCTGCAAACTTTCCAAATGCTATAGCACTTTTTCAAATCATCCTACTGCTAGCGTATCAATGAAAAGGAACTTAATGATTAGTCATGCTAGGTTTAAAGGAAAGTCGGCTTTTGAAATATTCTACAACTTCTAGCGCACCCGTAAACTATTTTGGTTTGGTATATCACAACAATAGACAGCCAGATTTGTTATATAGACGTTTCGTGTCCTAGTTGTTTGTTCATCCAGTAGATGACTTCACTGTTGGAAGTGCCCGCCGAAAAACGCAATATAGACCTTTGTTGTGCTTGGTGTTGACCTATAGCAGCAGCTGCTGGTGAAGGCGAAAATTCGCCGTAAGTGAGCAATAGGCGTAATCTACGGCTTCATTAAGGGAGAAAACCGGAAAACAGTCTCTCATTTTAAGACACCTTGTGGAAACTGCGTAATACTTGTGAGCAAAGCATTGCTTCAACGGATATGAAACCTTCGCTTGGTGGAAAGCTTTCGCGCTGTTTACCATCACAGTACAGTCATAGTAGCGACTGAAACGCGAATTCCGTAGAATCAGTCACTGTGTAATTAGCACGAGAATCGCTGGATTGTTTGAGAGACACGCATAGATTGTAGGGTTATTCTTGTGCGTGTGTACATACGAAAACGTAAATGTTCGAAGGAATCAGAAGACGATGTTGCGAATTGGTCTGTACGTATTGGAAAAACATGTGCTGGAGCCAAAAGGCAGGCGAAGATGTGTTCCTCGCACAATTTGAACTAATCACATATCTTGGAAATTGTAGCGTGATAATCTAATTCTGAAACCGACAATAATTAAGCAAAGGTGTCGAAATTATCTCTCACTCGAAAGTATTACTTGCTTTCTTAGTAAGGAGCAGAATGCGCTGTGAACTGATCAATCCACTAGCGATGCCCCCAAGCATCCTAACCTATTAGGCCCCTAATGAAAGCATATTTAGCCAGTATAGCGGCATTAGGTCTTGCTGGTGTGCCATTTCAGTGTTCCTATCCTCCCAGACAAGTTGGAAATCAATTTTCCAGCCACTGAAGGACAAAAAGCTTAATTTGCCTGGGGAGTATGGTTGAACCAATGATCCAGGTCTTGCATACGCTCACAAAATCCACTTTTCATAACAGAGGAGGGATATTTTGTCACAAAATGAGAACTCACTCTTTAAACGTTTGAGATGACTCATCGTTAAAGACTTGCTTAGTGTAAGCATAAGCTAGCAATAGATAAAAGGAAGAAAGTTTCACTGTCGCCATTTTCAACAATATCTCGGTAGATCTCGGCTTCCTTCCTTTCTTACGCTGTAAAAAGTTGCTTTCACAAAAACCGAATGCTTAGTCTCTGATATTCTGCAAAGGATTGTTAGTTTTAAAAATTTGGGATAAAACTAGAAAAGCACAGAAAATAGACAAATTTAGGAGCAAGTCAAAATTGTGTGGTTGGCGGGCGGGTGAGAAGACGGCTAATCTACATACCAGCCATACTATCAGGCAACTCGGACACGATTAGAACACCGCAAACAACGAACAGTCCTGATTTATTGGCAATAACCAGTAAATTTTATAGAGGATTAGCAGGGATGGCAATAACAGAGTTACAAAAGAGGGTTTGTTTTATCGATTTAGAGGTGTTTGTGTGTTATTATTTGGGGTATTAATACATAGTCCACTCTCCAACTTTCATTTCTCTCCAGCCATTCACGCATTGCTTGCAATGCATAAAGAGCGTTGTGTTTAGTAACCATCTAAATTTGCATATTACCAAACATTTATAATATAAAGAGGGTGTGTAAATAAATATTTTACGAATTCTGCGCATCGCTAAAGACTTTTTAACAATGAAGCACAACATAAAACTTTAATAAGAACACAATTTTGTGCAATGTTTAATCTTTAAAACTTATAAGCAGTGACTTCATGTAGATACTTGGAAGAAGAAAAAAGGAGAACTGATAGAATAAAAAAGGAGAGTGGAATCTGAGTATAGTACTCTCCTTGATAAATAGGCGCCGCTTCTTTGTGGGAGAGGATCGAGAACAAGCAGTGCGTCTGCTCGCCCCGTCAACTTGAATCGGCGAAGCCGACGTATATGTGAAAGGTAAATAATGGTATAGACTATAACAGTAGATGGCCGAGCACTCCACACTTAATCCAATTCTAACTTTTACATATTTGGGGGGTGAAAAAGGATTCTAAAAAACCCCTATCTACACCGACTATGAAACATAAAGAACGAATATTTGTATTCGAGTAACATAACTTTCTCAATGGCTTACCACCTCGCAACGATGAATGTACGATATTGGGTACAGCTACCCATACTGAGAACGAACTCGATTTCATCGACAAACTGATTTGCCACTCGTTGGGAATCCGTCGTTGCTCGTTTTTCATCAGATTACTTAAAAGCTTTTAACTGTGGCTAGCAAAGCTATCTGTCGAAAAATTTTACGGCTGTCCGAAGTGCTTGGAAGTTCACGCTGTAATTTATTACACTCTTTGCTTAGATCCCACTTCTGTGATGAAGAATTTTTTTGGTCGCTGCTCTAATTCCTGGATTTCTTCCATCGAGCTTACTTGGTATTAAGAATTGTTCGCTTTAATTTTGTGAACAATGGGATAAAAATATAAGTTGCCCTCAGCGTAAAGAAAATAACTCTTGGAATATCTTCTCCAAGGTTGCAGCATCTTATCAGGAAGAGCAACTGCTAAAACCAAGAAAACAAAAAGGATAAAATGTAATGAAAGTTGGACCAAAAAAAATTATAATACCACACTTTGTTTTGCCCGTATGAAGAAATGGTGGACGAAGTATCTGCTACATCGTTTTGCTAAAATCTCTCAAGCTTTACGACGTAGAAATTTAACCTTGCCAAGAAGGGTTTCTGAAAAAGAAGTGGAGAAATATAGCAAAATACTCTCGACATTTCCTAAGATCGACTTTCTACTATTATCGGCATTGGATTACAAGCGTTTGACCTAGTAAATTACATATTAGTGTACCCCTCTAGACTCTGAAAAGGGCGATACTGGTGAAACGTCAGCTAACGTTGTGTTGTATGTGCTATATTTGTGAGGAAGTAAAGGTGTGCTGAATAACAACCTCGCGATTGCTGTAAAAAAAAGAACAACCCTCGACATTCCTAACTGCTTAATAGACAATGCGAAAGTTTAGGTTAGGGTGGTCGCAATGCTGCTCTGTTTTTGTATTTGGAGTAGATCATTTTGATGGAATGGAATTTGAAGCAGTTGATATAAAGTGTTAAAAAATAGATGCTATCGAAAAGCTGGAATCCAATCATTTTATTAGTGTATTATCACTGCTATCAGCTTCTTAGATTACCTGATTGTAAAGTCCACACCTATTATGCATCCTCCCATTGCTCGTTGCCTCGAGCTCGCACCTTTGAAGTGCCCATTTCAGATCATTATTTAGAAAGTAAGCACAGCGGGTTTTATTCTCTCTTACCACTCGAGTAGCATCGGACACATCCTCTGGTGAGCTTCTTGAAGATGTCACCATCGAGTCACTGGTTTTCGAGCTGTGCGCTTCACATTGCATAGAAGCTAGTACGTCTGGATTCTATCATTCACTTCCATTAAAAAAGACATGTGAAGCCTAGATAGCGAGTTCGATAACGCTGGCTGACCTTCAACACAAAAGGGATGTCGCGTACGGGAATGAGCACAAACCTGTTTAGTGGTCCACAGACGTCTTCTACTGCACCTTTGCTATTTTCTCGATAGCTTGCCCAACAAAGATGTTAACTCAGGCGTGGTTCCTGAAAAGCTATTCTCTTTCATTTATTTTATTTCACTCGTCTTTGCATTTACTACGCGGATTCCAGCACTTTTCACATTCAGTTCGTTTCCCTGTATCAGTTGTGAACGAAGATCTAACTTTACGTGTAGCTTCAGTTGTTGCTTGAGGAAGTCCCTGGAGTCCTGAGACATCCAGATTGGAGCGCTTCCAATTGACTGAAAAAGGTGATTTTCTGCCGGAGAAGTCCGGTACCAATTTTCCGAACCCGGAGGGACGAGAGGCTTGGTTGGCCCAGTGTGGAATCGAACTAGCACCTTGCTGGTGATGACGAACATCACTACCACTGCGCTCTCCGCCTTCTACTAAAAGCTGTTGTAAAGCTACTAAAGCTTCAAAAGCTACTGAAGCTGTTTTGTACATTTAGTAATTTACAAAAAGCCTATTTTGAACGGGTTCCTTTTCGGAGAGAGGCTACTGCTGCTGAAAAGAGTATGCAGCATAGGGAGTAAGTCCACTGAAGAGGCTCACAAATATTTCCATTTGAACACTGAAATTCAACACTTGTGAGAGCTTTTCGCTATGATAAGATAAGAGTACGATTCTT